TGAAAGGGGTCATTATGAATGATAACAAGACATCGTTAATGCTTTCATCATTTAGGAAATTCTAAGGGCTTCAGGCGCTCTGTGCCAGAACTGGGAGCCCCAAATGTGTATGTCTTATTATAACCCAAAACATCACCCCGACTGGACTCAATCAGCCTTGGCTGACCAAGCCAGGAAATGAGACCCTCACGGAGGGCCTGTCTGTGGGGAAGGAGCAAAGCCGGCTCTCGGGTCCCGTGCTGGCCCGCGGGCTGCCGGGCAAGGCTGTGTCCAGTGGGAGGCTGTGTGCGGGCCCGTGGAGAGTCAGGAAGTCAGAACCACCAGAGACACGGCCACGCCGGGTTCATCCTCCGCCAGAGTCCACAGCTGACTACAGCTTGGGGCCGATGGTTCAGGTAGAATTCTCCCCTCCGCTAGAGGGGGAATTCAGCTTGAATTCAGTAGCATGACTAACTGAATGAATCTGGGTTTTTCACTCAGATCTGGGTTCAAATTTGGGTTCGGCCATTAACTAGCCATGCGAGTGTGAGCACGTTAACCGATCTCTGGGAACCTCAGTGTCTCCTCATCTTTGAAATGAGCATCACGCTTCCTCCCTACACATACGGACTGCAAGCCCTGCGTGTGTAAGGACCCACCTCGGAGGCAGACACTGGAGAGGTAAGTTACAGAGAGTGGCTACAATTGTAATCAATGGTATTGACACATTCAGACTCGTACCAAATCCGGAACATCCCCTTACCTGTCCACTGCCCAGTGACAGAGGGGCCTGCTGTCCTGTGGGGACAAGTAGCTAAGGGCCAGGGATTGCCCCACCACCCGGATGGAGAACAGCGGCCCTGGGTTCTGCCAAGACAAAAACGGGGGAGGGGGTCATCAGCCTGCTGTTTTAAATTGGGCTCTGAGTGCAGATACCTTACTCAAAAAATGTAAGCCTTTCTGTTTACAGTCTATTTGGAATATTCCCGTAACAATTAGTATTCAAAACCGAGATGTGTGAAGGCTTCATCTGCTTTTGAAGATGCACAGTTTCTTTTCACATGGTGATCGAACACTGTCTAACGCAGTGAATTTCCCTGAGGGATAAGCATGCTGTTCTTAAATAACTCCTGTTTCATTGGAACAGAAGCTGGCACGGTCACTGGAAAAATAAATCAAGTATGTTAATGAATTATTAATCGGTAATTTAACTTACTTTAAGAAATTATCATCACCAAATTACCAAAATGAGCCAATAATCTAAAAGCAAATTAGCTTATATTTTACATTCCAAATGCCAATAAACACTTCAAAGCAAGCCACATAAGGAAATACCAGCTATGTTTTTAGTCTAAGTTCCTAATGCATATTTCTGGTCCCAAAAATACCATCCAACTTCTAAATAAAGACCCAACACACTGCTGCTATTTGACATCGAAATGAACATGATCTATATAAACATTTACAAGATGAATGAAAACAAGAAAAAGAATGATTTTCCAACCCAGTTATTCTGGTTCAGGGTCATGGGTGGCCAGGCCTCTGCTGGGAGCTCAGGGCACAAGGCAGGACCCACGCTGGACAGGACACCCTTCCATCACAGGGCGATCACACCGCACTCACACCCACACCCACACCCACACCCACTCAGACTGGGACAATTCAGACACCCTTTGCCTCATGTGCACATCTTTGGGATGTGGGAGAAACACACACACACACACACACACACACAGGGGCACACACACACACACGGGGGTGGGCGGGAGTGTGCAGACTCCACAAATACAGTGGCCCCAGCCTTGTTATTTGAGGACCTGCTGTGCTTCCTAAGGAGAAGCTAGTTAAACCTGGGGGGACTCTTTTTCCTGACACTCTTAGTTGAGCTTTGCTGGTTGGATGGCAACCCAAGGCCTCTGCACTGTGTGGAGGCAGCTTACCCAGCCTGCACACAAAGGAAGTTTACAAAGTCGCCATAAACATGCCTCGGCAATGATAACTCTCCTCTTTTATAATTCATGCAAAGGAAAAGCCCGTCCAGCAAATGGGCCATTTGTGTAAGAGACACTTTCCTGTCCTCTCTCCTTGGCTGGAGAAATTCATTTGAGAACCTCCGCTATATGCTCACTATTTTTCATCTCTTCGGTTCAAGGATGTGAATTCTGAATGTATGCTTTCCAAATGATTAGCATATGGAGCCAGTATTGAATATATTACTATACGCATTCTGAGTTACATGGGTGGGCTAGCGTGGGAAGCTCACAGCCAACCATTCTACATACATTATTCCTACAGAAAATCCTTCCAACCACATGTTTACCGATGACTGGAAAGGCGTCCACAGCTGAGTTGGAGGTGACCTGTAATAGAATTTTGCTGGCACCACTGATTGCTTGATTGGTTTCTAAAGTCAAAATGACGGCAGGGGGCAGAGGTAAAGGCCCACGTGTGTCCGGGGGAGAATGGGCCAGCTGGGTTCAATGTTCACATGACAGTGGTTCATCCACTTTCAAGAATCAGGGGCACAGGGTTTGGGGGAGGCTAAAGCTATTCCTAGCTACCGTGACCTACTTAGAGAGAAGCCGTGTTTCTAATTTGGGCTCTGGCAGAGCTGCTGGGCAGAACAAGAGCAAAGTCCCTTAGAGCTAATGATGGGTAGAAACGTAGGGAAGGTCTTTAACAAAGTGGTATTTGGAGTAAATCCTAAATTAAATGTATGGTTTTCCCTGAGCACTAAGCAACGTGAATTATAAAGAATTATCACTAAGTTCGGTACATCCCCCAAATAAAAAGTTCTAAGAGAATAGCTGGGGAGGGGGGGTCCCAAAATTTCAAAGCCACTGACTTGTCCCTAAAAATGTCAACATCTTCTGCGCCAGGCAGCCATGGGATTAGTTTCTGATACTATAGGACAGTGATGGCGAACCTATGACACACGTCTCATTTTTTTGGTTGATTTTTCTTTGTTAAATGGCATTTAAATATATAAAATAAATATCAAAAATGTAAGTCTTTTACTATGGTTGCAAATATCAAAAAATTTCTATATGTGACACGGCACCAGAGTTAAGTTAGGGTTTTTCAAAATGCTGACACACCGAGCTCAAAAGGTTCGCCATCACTGCTATAGGAGCTACAGGAATTGGTTTCAAAATATGTTTTCATTGAAAACTACCAACCTGCAATAAACAAATGCAAGGCTAAAAGGTGTTTTTCCTTGAGTTTCTCTCTCAGTTATTCAAAAACTGGACAAAACTATTTTAAAACTAGGCTTTATATTTGGACAGGAACATTAATTTTCCACACAAATTATGAAGTCCCTTCAAGTTTTTGATCCAAAGATAAAAGCTACAATTTATTACAAGAAGCTGTCCTACGGGAAGCCATAAATGCACAAAAGTGAGAAGAAGACTGTCAATCCCACACTTGACCCCAATGGTGTTCTGTAAGATTTAAGGAGAAAACAGCCGTCCATGAAAGGTCATTTGTAAGGCTGTGAAGAGTGAGCCACTACGGGTCATAAATTGGTTATTTCCTTGCACGTAAATCAAAGTTATTTTATACAATAATGTGAATACTTATTAATAGCAAACTCTGGTTTCTCCTGAGCTACTCCTAGCTTCCCACCTCATCTCCACCCCCTCACTCATGACAGACAGACACACACATACACACACACACACTGACCTGCCTCATACACACATGCGCACACACAAACCTGCCACACACACACGCACGCACTGACCTGCTACACACACACACAAACACACACACACACACGCACTGACCTGCTACACACACACACACACACGCGCGCGCGCGCACTGACCTGCCTCATACACACATGCACACACACAAACCTGCCACACACGCACACACTGACCTGCTACACACACATACACACACACACACACACACACACACACACACACTGACCTGCTGTCCCGGGGCCTCGCCCTTCATGAGATGGCGGACCTCGCTGAGAATGCACTGCTGGAGCTGGACCCAGGAGATGGTTCTGTCCTCCCTGATCAGGAATGGTGGCCCAAACCTGAAAATCCAAGGACATCGGGTTATTTCAGCGGAGGAAAAACCAACACGTGTGACCTTTGCTCTATCATGGCTGCTCTCCACTGGCTAAGAGCTCAACACCAGGCATAACGCAAAACTGCCCGTCAGAGAACCTGCTGCCAATGGAGACACTGAGGTGGAAACAGAGGCCGAGGAGACACTGCGAGGCAAAGAGATGCTCCGAGTGCTCAGCGGCTGGGAAACTCTCTCCCCATAGAAGAGAGCGGAGTGGGAGAGCATGGCAGCCAGAGGAAAGCAGGGCAGAGACAAAGCCAGAGGGAAGCGGCCCAGCCGGCACTGATGCCTGGTGCATCAGGACTATCCTCATCACGGGGGAAGGTTTCACGTCCCATGCTGATGGACACGCCGCAGTGAGCTCCGATGCTGAGACCGCCCTGTGGTCAGTTCCAGCTCAGCCATGGGAACTCTGGGCACATCCCTGACTGCTGACTGTCCCGTGACCACACCACACACGGTTTTGTGGGTTAAGAATGTGAAGCTGCCCTAGCCGGTTTGGCTCAGTGGATAGAGTGTCAGCCTGCGGACTGAAGGTGCCGGGTTCGATTCCTATCAAGGGCACATGCACAGGTTGCGGGCTCAATCCCCAGTAGGGGGCGTGCAGGGGGCGGCCGATCAATGATTCTCTCTCATCATTGATGTTTCTATCTCTCTCTCCCCCTCCTTTCCTCTCTAAAATCAATGAAAATATTTTCTTTTTTTAAAAAAGAAAGAATGTGAAGTTGTAGAATAAACTTTGCACAAGTCTCAGGTGTGTCCGGAGAGGCAAGCACACTGGGCCACCCACTGTGTGTGGACAGATGGGGTTATACTATTAGGCATTCAGATTGCTTCAACTTTTTATTGAAACAGTACTTGCTTATAACAGGACGACATGTACTCTTTTACACACACCTCTGGGTGCACATGACTAATTGTTCCTTTGGGATAAAGACCCAGAAGTAGAAATGCAAGACCAAAGCGGCCCTCCAGAAAAGCCACCCCAGCGTACCGACGAGGCACCTGCCCAGAACGAGCATCACCAATCTCTAAAACTTCTTTAACAACCTGAAAGGTTAAGAACAGCATCTTGGCCCTAACTGGTTTGGTTCAGTGAATAGAGCGTCAGCCTGCGGATAGAAGGGTCCCAGGTTCGATTCCAGTAGGGGATGTGTAGGAGGCAGCTGATCGATGTTTCTCTCTCATCCATGTTTCTAACTTTCTATCCCTCTCCCTTCCTCTCTGTAAAAAAATCAATGATAAAAAAAACAAAGAATAGCATCTTGCTGTTGCAGTCAGAACTTCTACTAGCACATGAAGAGGCATATTTTAATTTCAGCTTGTGTTCCTTCTGGAAATGCATGTGAATCTCTGAAGCTTGTGTTACTAAAAGAGTATTTCTCTCCCTTATCTGAGAGCGAGGTTTTGTAAGATGGATCTGAAGCCTTTATCCGTCACATGATGCCAATATGTTTCCTCTGTGTGCTTTGCCTTTCAAATTTGCTTTGAGTTCAAAATTGTAAATCTATTTAAAACATTATCCTGTTCTCTTATAGACCCTGACTTAAGTGTTAAAACACTCCCCACCCAAAGACATAAATATGCCCCTACATTATCTTCAAGCTATTTTATGGTTTCCTTTACTGCAATCACCTCTCTAATCAATCTGGAATTTACACATGTGAATTTATGGTGGGAGTAAAAAATTGATTATATAAAATTTAAAAAGAAATCAATTAAGTCAGCATTTTATATAGAATAATTCATTCCCTACCTAGTAATATGAAATATACCATTTCTATCATATAATACTTAAATATACTTTGGCCTAGTCTGTTCATTGACTTAAATATCTATCCTTCTGACTATATCACAATATTTTAATAATCACAACTTCATTCTGTTCTAATAGAACAATCCCTCTTCTTCATTTTTCCCCTCCTCCAATATTTTCTGACTATTCTTACAAGCTTATTAGTCCAGATAAATTTTATATTTTATCAATCTAAAAATTTTTTATTGGAGCCACATATCTTTTAAACATTTTATTTGGACTATATAAGAAAAGTCTCTGCTTTTGTATATTAGTTATGTAGCCAGTCACTTTCCTGAACTCTTTTGTTAGTTTTAATCATTTTCAAGTTCTGGGTTCTCTGGACAGTGGATCTGCAAATAGCTGTAACTGTATCTCCTTACAATTACAGAGCCAGTTTCTTCTTCCTTGTCCTACCATACTGCCCAAACCTCAGTACACAATCTATATATATATAAGCCCAGCGACCATTACAGTGGAACCACCAGAACGACGGTAGCTGTGATGTACACTGTGGCAGCCAACCAGCCTGATCCGGGCCCCAATTGCCCGCCCCTCCGACCGGCCCGGGCCGATCGGCCCCCAACACCCCAATCGGGATTGGGGGTGGCCACCAACTGCCTGCAGCCCCTCCCTCTAGCCAGCCCAGACCCTGATCGGCCCCCAACACCCCTAAATCACTGCCTGGCTCCCTGGTGCGTGTACATGTAGTGAAAGCACAAGAAAATAATTATCAGTCTCTTCTGTCCCCGACCAGAGTCTCCAGAGGGCTCTGCTAATACTGCAGCCAGGTGTGGAATTCTCTCTCCATGGCCCTCAGCCCCAGGAGACCTTCCACGTTAGCCAAAAAGGCAACCTAAGCATTGACGGGATGGCGGCCCTTTGCTGAGGAATGTAGAGAGGCTGGGTGGGGATTTTGTGAAATTGCGGTGCCTTGCAGATTAGGTGAGCTTCCAATCTCTCTTTAAAAGGGGCAGCCCACAGGCTGCCAGTAGCAACAGCGAAGGGTAGGCACATTCAAAAACAGAAAAACTTTTAAACAAACAGACATGAAGATCATATTGGGAAACTGAGAGCAGAGCCCCGGGAAGAACGCAAAAATCATTCAGGGGCGATCATCCATCTTGATATAGGTTTGCAAGCAACACATAAACAACTTCATCTCATGGCACGTGAAATGCAAAACAGTTCTGTTGTGGGTTTTCTTTTGGCCATCCTTCAAGTATAATTAGATCCAGCTGGGGGGAAAGCTATAGCTTCCAGCATTAGAACAGGCGGCTCCGCCCACCCCATCGAGGCAGGTGGGCCGGCCAGAACCCACCCGTGCATGAATTCATGCACCAGGCCTGTAGTATAAAATAATAGTGGTGAAAGCAAGAATAATTGTTCCTGAAATTAATTTAAAAAGCTTTCAATGTTTAATTGTTAAGGACAATGTTTGTCATCTGCTTAAATTATTCCAGTCCCTATTCCTAGTTGATTAACCTTGAAAAACGGGTGTTTAATATAATCAAATTAGAATTATTCTAGACAGAATTCCAAGTACACATCTACAAATCCCAGACATCACGTAAAAAGGATGCAATGAAACATACCTGCTCGCCTGCTGCCCTGACCCCACCAGGTTACAGAAGAGGATTAGCACCTTGTTCTCCCTGTGGGCAGGCAGGGACAACCGCTGACCTGCACGGGCTGCCAAGCGAGGGGACACGGACAGACCAGGCGAAGGAGCTGAAGAGAGAGAACTACATTTGTATTCTTCAAGGAGCTACTTTGCTGGGTCAAAACCCTGCTTCTCTGGGCACTCGTTCTCTTAACCACCCTTAGGAGACACTAGACCAGTGGTTCTCAACCTTGGCTGCACATTAGAATCACCTGGGAATCTTTTTAAAATCCTGACTTCTGGGCCTCATCCTCCAGAAATTCTGTTTCTTTGTTATGGGGTGGGGCCACAACATTAGTAACAAAGAAACAGAATTTCCGGAGGATGAGGCCCAGAAATCAGGATTTTAAAAAGATTCCCAGGTGATTCTAATGTGCAGTCAAGGTTGAGAACCACTGCACGAGAGCACTTTAGGGGAAGAGATAGAAGGTTCATGGCACTTGTGCCATGGGCACCTGGCACACGACGAACATATAAATAGTAGAGAATTTGTGTTCAGCCAGTAATTTAAAAAATGAGGGTAGGGATTTTAATGAACACTTTTTAAATCCAGTCTGAAAAATACTCCAAAATTATTGTGGGTGCTCAATGCCTGACCAGAGCCACAGAATACTCATTGTCTTCGAAAGCCAACGTAAGCAGCACACAGAGCAGGTAGGAATCTTTACCCTTGGGGAAGTAGGGGTCTGGACTTTCCTCAATTTCCAATCGGTTCTGAAAATTTGACTTTTAAAGCACAGATGTGTCGCCTGTGATTGAATTTGAAATGAGGGCTTGTTTCACTGAGCTACAACGTAATCAGGGTCAGTCAATGTCCTGTCCCAGATTCCTTGCCCAGAGTCTCTCTGTGACCCAGAACCACCACAGACACCTGGTCCCCACACCTGTCACCTAGGCTCACCGAGGATGCAGGGCTTGGGCACAGGATTTATCTGGGGATATGGTGACACTGGCACAGGGTCCTTGACTGACTAATTGCACCAAAATGTATATGACCTGCAATGAAAGATTGTCAGATATTGGCCATCTTAGCCAATCCAAAGTTTAGGAAAGCCAAGCATTGGGAAGTGGGACTGTTAACAAAAAGTCATTTATAACCTCTTTGGCCATCTGCTGCTTGAACTTACAACGTTTTTTACTTAAGTACAGACCTTGACTCTCTGGAGTCTGAACACAAAGACTAACCAGCACCTGTTCTGATTAATGGTCATCAAAGTGTGCTCTCGGGACAGCAGCATCACCTGGGAACTCGTTTCATTTGAAAATTCTCAGGCCCCGCCCCAGGCCTAGAGAATCAGAAAGAAACCCTGTGGGTAGGGCTCAGCAATCTGCTCAAACAAGCCCTCCAGGTGACTCTGATACTCACGAAGGTCTTGAAAGCCCCTGTATTCATGGAATATTTTAAAGGAATCAACCATCTGTACAACAAATATCAGAGAAAATAAGTCTCCAAGTACGAAAACTAAATGTCTTATGCCTCAGGACCCAATGAGTACTCTCTCAGACCTGTAGCCCACAATATTCAAGCACTATTGTACCTGCGAGTGTCCCCTGGCCAGGTGGCGGAGGGGCATGGAAGGCATACACGTTATCTCCCTCTGCTATCGTGTTCAGGTCGTCTTCATCAAAGAAAGACCGCTGGAGTCCACTGGGGCACAGTTCAACCAGGATCACCTGGAATGAGAAGGATCGTTTTCCATCTTGATTTCTCAAAGGGAACTTAACAAATAAGAAATCTAAAAGCGAAGGGATTAAGAAATACAAATTGGCCATTACAAAGTCATGGGGATGTAAAGTACTGCATAGGGAATAGAGTCAATAATATTGTAATAACTATGTATGGTGTCAGATGGGTACTAGACTTATGGGGTCACCTCATAAGTTATATAAATGTGTAACCACTATGCTGTACACTTGAAACTAATATAATATTGAATGTCAACTATAATTGAAAATTTTCTTAAATGTGTTTTTAATAATAAAAGAGACTGATAGATTTACAACTGTTCTTTACCCTTCCCTCCCTTCTAGCTAGTGAGAAATACTACTTATTTTTAATACTAAAATACAGTAGATATAACAATTAGATTAAATACAGACATCTCAACTGCAACAATAGAATATCACACTGGCCTAGGGAAGGGTCGGGGGGAGTTGAAAATCTAAACTTTAATACCCAGCTAAAGTATCATGCAAGGTGAGCATAAAATAAAGTCTTCTTCAGATCTCCACTGAAAAAATTTCTAAAGTGTACTGCCAACATTTTTTACATTATCACATACATGAAAAATATTTTTATGGAACACTGAGGTTAGCAGAAGAATCTGGTTTTGTAGAGGAAAAGTGGGGTGACTGCGTTGAGGGTCCTGGATGCCCCAGTCCCAACTTGGTCACCTCCAGGGCTACAGGAATCAACATCTGGAATCAACATCTCAGTGCACACAAACCATTCAAGGCACACTTGTAAAAGATGCATTTCAGGGTTTTAAAAAAAAAACAAAACTGAATCCAGAGCAATACTTGAGTTTTAAGGAGAAATGATAAACCAAAAAAAGGTAAACATTGGTGAATGTAAATATGCAGTGACTATATAAACCTAAAATAACAACTAAACTACTACTACAAAGAAGAACAGGGAGGAGGGATTATCCATCTACAATAATATCTAAATCAAAAAGGTATAAAGGAAATTAAAGCATGCCCAGATCCTTGTGTTTCTTGGGAAAATTAACATAAGACTTTGTTAATGCATGTTGACTTTTTAAAAATATAATTTTATTGATATCAGAGAGGAAAGGAGAGGGAGAAAGAGATAGCTACATCAATGATGAGAATCATTGATCGGCTGCCTCCTGCACAACCCCTACTGGGGATCAAGCCCACAACTCGGACATATGCCCTTGACCAGAATCGAACCTGGGACCCTTCAGTCCACAGATCAACGTTCTATCCACTGAGCCAAACCGGCTAGAGCTGCATGTTGACATCTTAATGGTAACTAGTAAGAGCATAGATATAAAATGTATATGTTCCAAACCTGAAGAGATGAAATGGAGAAAAAATGCTCAATCCAAAAGAAGCAATAAAGAAAGGGATAAAAGAAACACAGGAAAAGTAGGGTAAATAGAAAGCATAAAATAAGTCCAAATATGTCCATGATCATATATAATATAAATGGAATAAAGTGGCCAGTTAAAACTAAATGTCAAAATAGATTTTAAGTTCCAATCAAAGTGTGCTCTCCTGCACTTAGGAATCCCAAGTGATATGTATCTCCCTGAACAAACAGGTCACTCACACCTTTCAAATTCCCCAACAGTCCTTTCACTCTCTTAACTATTCAAACTCTACCTCTCAGACTTTTGATCTTTTATTACTGACACTAGAGGCCCAAAGAATGAAATTCGTGCAAGAGTAGGCCTTCGGCCCTAGCCGGCTTGGCTCAGTGGATAGAGCGTCGGCCTGCGGACTGAGGGGTCCCAGGTTCAATTCCGGCCAAGGGCATATGCCTGGGTTGCGGGCTCCATCCCCAGTAGGGGTGTGCAGGAGGCAGCCAATCAATGATTCTCTCTCATCATTGATGTTTCTATCTCTCTGTTCTTCTCCCTTCCTCTCTGAAATCAATAAAGAAATAAAAAATAAAAATAAAAAAGAGTAGGCCTTCGCAGCTGAGGCTGCCTCGATCCCTCCCTCACAGCTGAGGCGGCTGCCTGGATCCCTCCCTCACAGCCACAGAGGCTGCCTCAATCCCACGGCTGCAGCCCCAGGTTCATCCCAGAAGGACGTCCAGAAGGACATCCAGTCTAATTAGCATATTATGCTTTTAATATTATTGATTTCCCCCCCAAGATTCTTATCTACTGTCCTACTCTCTTCTCTCTCATTCTCTCAATAGATCCCCATAGAGCACAAAGCAAAAAACAACAGAGTTTTACCCACTTGAGATCCTTATAAAATGACTGTAGAGGTCAGAGGGACCGGGGTGGAGGCAGGAAGAAGCACTGGGGTGATGGAAAGGCTCAGTAATCATAGTGTTCTACAGGATGTGCATGCAGGTAAAATTTCAAGATTTTAACTTTAAAGCATGTATACTTTATTATATGTGTATTATTCCTTAACAAAAGGTTAATGGTATTTTTTAATTTGAAAAAAATCCATTGAGGTCTTTAAGGAAGTATAAAATTTCCCTTTTACAATTAAAGAAACAGGACCAATTACTTTGTCCAAGGTCAGAACACTAGAAAGTGACTGAATCACAATGAAAGCCCCGTTCTCAGCCCTTCCCTTCATGCCACCGTGATTCTCACCACCGTCACCTCTACCCTGTCCTTTCATGGGGGGACCCCAGTTACAAGCTCTGTCCTCCAAAGTCACAGAGAATCCAATCTCGTTACCAAGCCTCCTTTATTTTTTTTTAAATATATTTTTTTATTGAATTTTTACAGAGAGGAAGGGAGAGGGATAGAGAGTTAGAAACATCGATGAGAGAGAAACATCGATCAGCCGCCTCCTGCACACTCCCTACTGGGGATGTGCCCACAACCAAGGTACATGCCCTTGATCGGAATCGAACCTGGGACCCTTCAGTCCGCAGGCTGACGCTCTATCCACTGAGCCAAACCGGTTAGGGCCCAAGCCTCCTTTAAAAAAGAGGTAGAGCACAGCCAATCCCACTTTCCCCCGAAGCTCCCCTCTCGTGTTACACGCCCTCAGTTCCCTCAGTGGCCCTCACATTTCACTGATTGTCCCGTCCATAACCTGGCTTATATTCTTGGGAGTGAAAATATAGAATAGTGGCTCAGGCTCTGAATTCAAACCATCCGTGTTCACATCCTGGCTCAGCGGTGTGACCCTGGGCAAGTCACCCAACCTCTCCATGCCTCTTCTTTGCTCACTGGTAAATGAGGACACCTGCAGTATCCACGTCACAGGATGCTGTGAGAATTAAATTGCCTACGGATATAAAGTTCATAGAGTACCCAGCGCTTATTAAGCACTGCTGAGGCGGAGTGACTGTGGAATTACTGTAGTTGTAATCACCACCACCTTATTGGAAGACAAAGGCAGTGTCTTCTTCTGGTTATTCTATGTAAATGCCCAGAGAGGTCAAGACCTAGTCACCACAGACACCAGAGATGACTAATCACACAGAAACCCATGAGTCACGCTGGCGTCACCCGAGAACCAGAAATTAGCCTAAGCGACCGAGACAGCTGGCTCAGTTAGCATCTCGCCCTCCAGTGACCAGGCCCCAGGCGCTTCCATCAGACCTCATCCACAGGGACGCTGCCTTCCTGGGCCACCATCTTCCTCAGGGCTGCCACTGTGCTGAGGATGGGCACCGCCAGGCCAACCCGCAGGAACCGCTGGCTCTGAGAGGGGAAGATCAAGGTGACGCTCAAGAACCTGAAAAAGAGGGAAGAGTCCACATCCTTAAAGGACTGAGATGACCTGTCACCAACACCACTGACACTAGGTCAAGTTCAGCACCTGGGCCTCTCTCTGCTTCCAGGGCGGGTCACTATATTCCACTGTCATCGGGTGGCAATGGAGAGCCAATTCTCCACAGATACCACTGAGTACTTTTCCAGTAAGTTAAAAATAAAAGGTATTTGGTTTACCCCCTGGCTGGTTTGGCTCAGTGGATAGAGCGTCAGCCTACAGACTGAAGGGTCCCAGGTTTGATTCCGGTCAAAGGCACATGCCTGGGTTGCGGGCTCAATCCCCAGTGTGGAGTGTGCAGGAGGCAGCCAATCAATGATTCTTTCTCATCATTGATGTTTCTATATCTCTCTCCCTCTCCCTTCCTCTCTGAAATCAATAAAAATATATTTTTTAAAAAGGTATTTGATTAATAATCACAACACAGACCTACGGTCTCAAGGTTGTTTGTTAACTAGATCCGTGGTCAGCAAACTTCGGCTCTCGAGCCACATGCGGCTCTTTGGCCCCTTGAGTGTGGCTCTTCCTAAGCCTTAGGAGTACCCTAATTAAGTTAATAACAATGTACCTACCTATATAGTTTAAGTTTAAAAAATTTGGCTCTCAAAAGAAATTTCAATCGTTGTACTGTTGATATTTGGCTCTGCTGACTAATGAGTTTGCCGACCACTGAACTAGATAATCTTCAAGCTTCTCCTGCAGTCTGCTTCAACACTACCGATGCTGCCCTCCTTCCTTTTTTAAATTCTCCCTGGGTGATGGATGAGATAGGGCCCTTGGCTGACCCCACTCCCTCCTGTCCCCACCAGCTCACCAGGCCTCACTCCTCCAGCTCCCGTCTCTCCTGCTCTATAATTACCCAATTCGCACAGCTAACTAATAGAGCTGGGATTTGAACCCAGGCAGTCAGGTCCCAGAGTCAGTGGGCCTAACCGATGTGCTAAGATGAATCAAGTCAGGAACCTTAACTCACATCTACCAGCAGCCATCATTGCATGGTGTCACTGGTGACAGGATAAGCCCCTGTTCCATGTGTGGCATAAACTAGCAGCACAGGAATTCAGAGCCAGGATTCAGAAAAGGATTAAGATGCCAGGAAAGGCTTGATGAGGCTGTCGTGGTTTCAGCTGCATCCTACAGATGGAGGATCTCAACAGATAGAGGGCAAGAGAAATGCTACGTACAGAGCTGGGGAACACCGGAAGAAATGCCACCATCTAATTATTATTATTTTTGCTTAATCCTCACTCAAGGAGATTTTTCCATTGATTTTTAGAGAGAGTGGAAGGGAGGGGGGAGAGAGAGAAACATCTTTGTGAGAGAGACACATCAATTGGTTGCCTCGTGCCCCGACCGGGGCTGGGGGTCGAGCCTGCACTGAGGTGCCTGCCCTTGACTGGAATCGACCCCAGGACTCTTCAGTCCGCAGGCCGACTCTCTATCCACTGAGCCAAATGGGCAAATGCCACCATCTTGACGCCAGTGAAGGTACCCCATGTGGGAGCTCACTAAACTTCCGTGAGGCTGACACTGGCCAGGTGCCTGTGGTCACTGTGAGGACCTGCGATGCTGTGACGCCTGCACTATGCGCTTCTTCCTTATAGAAAGCTGGGCCCCACGTGGCTCTTGCCCAATCCTGACTCCTCTTTCCTTTTTGTCTCATCTCCTCCAATCACCCTTTTCCTTTTTCTTTGCTCCTGAGATAAACCTTTTCCTACATCTTCACAAACAGGAGAAAGGAGTGGAAACAAAGCAAGGAAAAGCAGGTGGTGACACATTTTCTCTGGGTTGCCCATCTGACCAACTGGTACCCACTGGCCCATGCCAGCTTCTGAACGGGCCAAAGACATCAGCCAGGTGCTGATAAACAAAAGCACTGTTTATAATTCCTTCTTCAGCTACAAGAGGACACAGTAACCTTTCACTTTATTCGTCACATTCCATAACTGAATGTCGCCCAGCTATAAGGCTGGTTTCTAGAAACACACTGGCTAAGAGAGACAGGTGCAGCTGCAAGGCCAGAGGTTCCCCAAAGGAGGAAGGACGTCAGGTGCACCGGGCACAGCACTCACATACCTGGTCTGGCGCAAGGGGATGGGCAGGGACACACACAGGAACGGATCGAAGGTGTTGCTCTGCTTCAGGCAGTGGGGACAAGTCAAGGAAGATCTGTGAGGGCAAAGAACAGACACGGACGTTTAACCTGAACTGTCTAGTGGTTGCTCAAAAAGTTACATACAGAATTACCATTGCAATTCCACTCCTAGGTAAATTCCCAAAAGAACTGAAAACAAATATTCAGACAAATACTTGTACGCAAATGCTCCTAGCAGCATTATTCACAACAGTCAAACGGTGAAAACAACCCAAGTGACCACCAATGGGTTCATAAACAGAACATAGTATATCCACACAGTGGGCTATTACCCAGACACAAGTCCTGACAATGCTACTCCGTGGCTTAAACTTGACATTACTTATAGCCTTTAAACCCTTTTAAATTCAACGCTCCCTCACTTTAGTGCCTTTGAAAGTGAAGTGCCGATTCCATATTCCAGATGGTTGCTCCAACTTACTTCCTTAATCACGAAATGCACCATTTCTTCCAAGACATAAGGGATTTCTGGATGCTACATTCCTGATCCCAAAGCTACACTGACTTCCTTGGGAACATGGAACAGCAGCCCACTGGCAGTCTGCTCTCTCCACTAGACAGCCCCAGGCTGGTGTGGCTCACTGGGTAGAGCATCCACCCGTGCACCAAAGGGTGGCAGGACCAATTCCCGATCGAGAGCACATACCTGGGATGAAGGATCGATCCCTGGCCCCAGTTGGTTGGGGCACATGTGGGAGGCAACCAATCGATGTGTGTGTGTGTGTCTCTCTCTCCTCACTTCTTTTCACTCTCTCCAAAAATCAATGGAAAAAATAATCCTCCCGTGCGGATAACAAACAAAAAAACCAGGTTCCCAACTCCATGGAGAGCACCCGCCCTGCTTGATAGGTTTTCTGTTGAGCAAACAAAATAGAAAAGACCAGGGACAGGCAAGAGCATGGGAGGTTTTCTGGGTGCTGCCCCCAGCAACCCGCGTGGCCTGCTCCTAGCAGGTCGCTCTCCTGGACACAAGCCTATAGACGCCAACACTGATTTAGGAAACAGACCCAAGTACTCAACGCTCAATCCCTCTCACTGCCTCTGATGAACTGCCCTTCAGGAAAACCATGGGAATGGTTTGGTAAAAAACGGTGTATCAGACATCAAGCTCCCGCCACCAGGGGGACCTGGCATTGTGGGGTCTCGCCACCCCTTTTCCCTTCCAGTCCTTCTCCCACGTCACCCATCACATACCTACACATAGCAGAGGCCTTTGTGTTGTTGGGAAATTTCCAAATCCCTGTCTCACACTTAAGCAAAGAAATGGAAAGGAATATTTTTACTTTTTGTTTTAACCTACTAAAACTGGCTCAGTATAGGCCTCCATATTGAGCCACAATCTCTATCAGGAAGCAAGAGATGTGTGGATTGGAAAAAACAGACAAGGGTCTAATTTTATCTTTGAAGGATAAAGAAAACATGGTGCAGGCACAATAAGCTACAGAAAGGATGTGAAATACAGCTGTTTCTCAGAGGATGAGGAATAAGGACAGAGTGGGACCAACAGAGTGAGGGCAGTGTCACGCTTACGGAAACTCCAGACATTCCCAGCTACCCCTCAGCGGGCCTGAGGGGCCCTGTCCCCCTCCAGCGTGCTCACACCCTGACCTCATGTCCCCCAGCGGCCCCAGGGGAAAGGGGCAGGAAATCACCCGCTGCCCTTCCGTGTGCACTTGCCCATCTCCCTGCGGGGTTGGCTCTCTGGTCACCTGCTTCTGTTGTAACGCCCAGCGATCAGCCGCCACCCCACACTGCTCTGCTCCCCCAGTTCCAAACGCCAGGAATGAGCCCCTGGCTTTGACACTGAACAGCTCACCACTCGGACTCTCCTGGCTGCCAAATGCACACTTCACACCTCAAACCTGGCCAGCTTCACCCTCTCACTGGCAGTGGAACTAATGTCTACCATAATTATGATGACGTGTAAGCAAGGTGCCACCTCTCCAAGATCTGTTCTGAGAAAGCCTTCCAAAGCTCCTCTGCCTGACGGGAATGCTACCTGCGACAGGGACCAGACCAGACAGGGACTGTCTGCACATAAAGCTACGAAGAGCAGGAAGCAATAAACAAGCCCACGCGCGCGCATGCACGCGCACACACACACACACACACTCCGTCCTCCAGCCAAACCTCAATCCTCGGTCATTAAACTTGGAGAGGTTTTAGGCTGTGGCCATTGTCATACAAAATAGCTAATTATGTTCCCTCTAGTCCAGGGGTCCTCAAACTACGGCCCGCGGGCCACATGCGGCCCGCCGAAAACATTTATCCAGCCCGCCGGGTGTTTTTGCCACCGCTGCCTGTTGCTTAGCAGCCAACTAGTTTTTTTTTAAAACTATAGTTATTAAACTTGGAGAGGTTTTAGGCTGTGGCCATCGTCATACAGAATAGCTAACTATGTTCCCTCTAGCCCATATCTCCAGCACCCTAACATTATTCCTCCTGCTGTCCTCCAGCCAAAGTCAAATACTCAGAGGACCACCGCTCAGGGGACCAGCGTGGGGCGGGCCCCACTGATGCTCAGACCTGAGAAGCCCCAGCCTGCTGGACGTCCCCAGCTATTATTTTTCTTTACTAGAGATTATCAGGCACGAAGCAGGTGTTTTTCGCTGTCACCAGTACATTTCTGAGCACGAACGCCTCGCTTCCTACTCATCAGCCTACCCGGAGCCCACTAGCCTTCCTCAGAACCTGACGGGCTCAGATGGCAAGTGCTCAGGAATGCTCCCTGACTCCCTGTGCCGGGCAGGCCCTCTGTGATACTGTGACTTTAATGAGAAATAGATGTTTGGTCTCCACACCTGCTCCTGGCACAGAGCTCCTAAAGCCTTGAAATTTCCAACAATAAGGTGAATCTTTTGTTATTTATAGCAAACCCCTTACAGCCACACCTGAGTTATATTATGGAGGTGACTTTTGAAAAGCCCCTAAATCAGTGATGGCGAACCTATGACACGCGTGTCAGAGGTGACACGCGAACTCATTTTTTTTTTGGTTGATTTTTCTTTGTTAAATGGCATTTAAATATATAAAATAAAGATCAAAAATATAAGTCTTTGTTTTACTATGGTTGCAAATATCAAAAAATTTCTATAGGTGACACGGCACCAGAGTTAAGTTTGGGTTTTTCAAAATGCTGGCACGCCGAGCTCAAAAGGTTCTCCATCACTGCCCTAGATAGCCCCAGGATGGGGCTGGTTGCCAGGGGGACCAACCATGTGATTAGATGGCGGAACTTTCAGCCCCCACCTCCTGGGGAAAGGGAGGCAGGCGGATGCTGAGCTCATGGCTCATGGTCCATAATCTAATCAACCGCGCCTATAAAACGATGCCTCCACGAAGCCCTAACCGCGTCCAGGTTGGTGGACACGTGGAGGTGCTGGGAGGGAGGGTGCCCCAAGAGGGCATGAAGGCCTGCACACCCACACAGCCTGCCTGTGCATCTCTGCCACCTGGCTGTCCCTGAGCTGTACCCTCTAATAATGAGCTGGGAACCTAGTGAGTGCGCTGTTTTCCCCAGTTCTCAGAGTTGCTCCAGCAAACCATCGACTCTGAGGTGGGGTCCTGGGAGCCTCTGACTCACAGCCAGTCAGTGAGAAGCACAGGTGACACCGGGAAGCTGTCATCGGTGCCTGGAGGGAGCAGCCTCCTAGGGCGGAGCCCTTACCTATGGGAGTTGATGCTATCTCATGGTGTCAGAACGGAGGTCAACGTAGGACTCAGGTTGGCTTCCACAGAGAACTGCAGGATTGCGTGGTGAGGGAGACACACCCACGCACCAGGTTCAGACGGAAGAGGGGCCATAGTGCAGAGCGGTAAGAAGACAAGTGTCCTCTCCCACACCCGGACGTGTACTCCGAAGCACTGGCCAGGCGTGACTACAGAAACACCCAGGAGCCACCGAGGTCCCCACCTTTCCCTGTCCCCAACCCAGACCTTAAACCCATTGGCAAGTCATGTCGACTCTCAACCCAAACACCTCCCCTCCTCACCCCCATCCACTTCTCTCGGTCTCCACCGGCACCTCCATGGTCCCAGCCGCCACCGTTCACCCACTGGGACGACTGCCCGCCATCAGCCGCTGCTCCAGCTCCCAGTCCCGCCTCCCTTCATTGCCCATAACAACCAGCATCACCTCTTACCAGCGGTTCTCAACCTGTGGGTCGAGACCCCTTTGGCGGTCAAACGACCCTTTCACAGGGGTCACCTAAGACCATCCTGCATATCAGATATTTACATTACGATTCATAACAGTAGCAACATTACAGATATGAAGTAGCAACGAAAATAATTGTATGGTTGGGTCACAACATGAGGAACTGTATTTAAAGGGCCAGAAGGTTGAGAACCACTGTCTTAAACGGACATCTAGACCACACCCTGCTTTACATTTGGCAGCGGCTTCCTGTGCTCTTTGGACCAAACCCCACACCTGGACAGGACACCTGTGTCACCGGGTCCCCATCCACCTGTCCAGCCCCAGCTCCCAGCCCTCACCACGTAGCAGCTCTGTCTCTGGAACTTGCCAAGATCATGCCCACCCAGGCCCTGTGTCCCTGCTATTCCCTGCCTGGAATACCCTGTCCCCAAATACAGTACCTGAATGGCCGACTCCTTGTCACTCAGCTGTCAGCTCGGATGTCCCCCCTGAAAGAAGCCTTCCCTGACCACCTGATCCTAGCTTGGCCGCCTCCCCCACCTCCCGCTCCACCTTATCATTCATGTTTCTCTGTGGTGGGGCCTGTTGAGCTGTGTATTCTCTCACCCTCCCCAATAGAACGTGAGCCCCATGAGAACAGGCGCTGGGTCTCATTCACAGCCCCAATTCCGACCTGGAAGAGAACCTGGCGCATAGTAGGTATGTAGGAATTATCTAGAGAATGAATGGATATCTTTCATTAGTATTTCTCTCTCATGGGCAAGGAATCATTATGTTCTCATTGTAACTGCTGGACCCAGCACAATATCAGATCCTCAGATACTTGAAAGAAGAACAGAGAGAGACTATGGGTAGGCAACAGGGGAAGAGGGTAGAGAGAATGGAGTGAGCAGAGAAATGAGTGAATGTATTGAACAAGGACACCAATGAGCGGTCCCTGGTGGCAATTCCTGGCGACCCTTCCCTGCTCTCCAACGTGTCCACGCCTTCTACTCCCTTCTCCCTCCCTGCCTGTCCTTCTTTACCCTCCTCTAGTCTTCTCCTGTCTCCTTTGCTCTCAAGCAGCCTGTGCTTTGGGACCCGAAGATAAAAACATGCTCTAGTAGCTTTCACGGCTAAAAAGGTCGGTATCCGTTTCCTCCATGTGCACCGCGCAGTGCATCACCACGCCTCTCAGGAAGCTGGCGGCCTCTCCTCCTGCCGGGCAATGAAATGTGGGCGCATTCAGAAGAGACTTTAATTACCCAATATGCTAAGCAACCGAGGCAGGAGGGCGTGCCCGTGGCCGCCCCTCCCCGGTGGGGCAGGGGCAGGGAGGGAGAATTTCTCCAGGGCTGTGGCTTTCCTCTCCAGTGGAAAGCCTGCAGAGGCACCTTCCCAAAGTGTCTCAGAGACGATCTGGCCTCCGTAGATAAACCGCCACCTCAAAGGCAGCGGTCATGTCCAGTTTACTTGGTTGGCAATCACTGAGTATCAACCCTAAATCAAGAGCGCGTCTGGGCAATTTTAAGTGATCTCCTCCTTCCCGAACACAAGGAATGCAAGTGCCCAGGAAGGATGGAAGCAAATGGCTCTGAGTACGTGAATTCTAGAACACGGAATAATTGTTCATTGGTTTAAAGTAAATAAGAGGAAAAAACAACGGCAGGCCCATGAAAAGCACAGCAGAGCAAAGGGAAGAGGAGTGTCCAGAGGACTCGGAGGAAAGCACTGAAAGGGTGAGGGCTATGCCCTCCATCTTACCCCGTATCCTCCATGTTGGGGCAGGAGCCATGTGCTTAGACCCCCTTCTTCCCGGAAGCCCAGGCCTCTGCTGGCCACGCCCGGGATTTCTTTAAACTAACCAATGACAGTCGAGGGATGTGCGTGCCATAAGAATTACCGCATCCTATGTAACAAGACCCGGCTTGCGCCTGGCCAATCAGCAGGGCCCACAGTCCCCTCACTCCACCCCCTATTAAAACCCTGTTTTTTCTCATGGCGGTCTCTCCCCGCTTCTTGCCGTTGGGTCAGAGGGGGCTGGGAGCCAGACCCAGGTCTGTACTAATAATAATAAAGGACTCTCTGCTTTTGCATTGGACTTGGCTGGCTCCCTGTTGGTCTGTGGGGATCTTGAAATCTGGGCATAACAAGCACACCTTTGAAAAAGATTGGCTGCAACATCCAGACGAAAAAACTTTCCAAACCAGTTCGGTTTGCGACAAGGGGAGGTGGAAAAGCCACCGAAGAGGACGGGTTACGAAGAAAGCTGGAGCAGGACTTGTGCTTCAGAGATCTCTCAAAAGCCAAACCCTGGTTCTGCCGCTTACTACGCGTGAGCTCACAAAAAGCCCAACCGCCCTGACTGGGCCTCACGTTCTGAGGCTCCTAGAAGGAATAAACGTTAAAATATATGGGCGAGCGTGTCCCTTAGAGGTGGTTCTCTGTAACAGTGGGTTCCCCGGATCCTGATCGTGTGCTCATTCCCACCTCTAGGCCTGTTTCCTTCTTGTTGACTCTGCTCCCACCCATTCGATCCTAGTCACCCTTCAGAGCCCATCCAAAGGCACACCCCCTCTGAGAAGCCCACGGGGGTTTCTCCCTTTCTGACCTCTCACTGCAATTAGTGCTCTTGTTAAAACACTGCAATACCTTATATTAAGTAAAATAAGACAGAGAAAGACAAATACCATATGATGTCACTTATATGTGGAATAGAAAGAACAAAATAAATGGACAAACAAAACAGAAACAGACTCATAGATACAGAGAACAAACTGATGGTTGCCAGATGGGAGGGAGATTGGAGGGGGGGCTGGTGGAAAAGGTGAAGGGAGTAAGCTGTACTAATTAGCCCGGCTGGTGTCGCTCAGTGGTTGAGCATTGACCTATGAACCAGGTCACGGTTTGATTCCAGGATAGTGAATATGCCCGGATTTCAGGCTCAATCCCCAGTGGGGGGGTATGCAAGAGGCAGCCAATCGATTCTCTCTCGTCACTTATGTTTCTCTCTCTCTCCCTCTCCCTCTCCCTTCCTCTCTGAAATCAATGAAAATATTTTAAATGTACTGATTAGCCCTTACCAGTTGCTCAGTGGTTAGAGCATCAGCCTGCATACTGAAAGGTGGCAGGTTCGATTCCAGTCAAGGGCAGGCTTGATCACCAGCCTGGAACAGGGCACATGCGGGAGGCAACCGATGTTTCTCTCTCAAACTGATGTTTCTCTCTCTCCCCCTCCCTTCTACTCTCTCTAAAAATCAATTGAAAAAATATTCTCGGTTGAGGATTAACAACAACAAAAAGATGTACTAATTGGCAGTTACAAAACAGTCATGGAGATGTAAGGTACAGCATAGAGAACATAGTCAGTAAATTGTAATGATGATGTATGGTACCAGGTGAGAACTAGCCTTATCGGGGGGATCCCTTTGTAAATTATGTCAATGCCTTCACATGACCCCCACTGTACCGGAAACTATTATAAAATAATATTGAATGTCCACTGCTATTAAAATGTAAAAAATAAGTTAGTAAATTGCTTCTAAAATCTAGTATGGAATAAAATATGGCTTCATATTTACCTTTAAAAAAAAAAACATTGCAATACTTGAAAATATTCTGCCTTACAATTATAATCTCTGAACTGTCACATATAAAAGCCCAAGGAGAATTTTTCTGGAGTCCAAGGCTATGTAATTATATATTTTTTATGTCCCCTAGAAATCTTGAACTCATAACAACTGACCTCTCACTGCAATTAGTGCTTTTGTTAAAACACTGCAATACCTTATATTAAGTAAAAATAAGACAGAGAAAGACAAATACCATATGATTTGTCTTTCTGGCGATGAAAAAGAAAGAGGAAGGGCCTCACCCAGGGACTGCCTGCTGGGGAGGTCCCGGCCTTCCCACTCACAGTCTGCAGAACCACCTGGCACCAGCCCCCCTTCAAGGGGAGCTGGGAGGCCCAGAGGCCAGCAAGAAGGGAAGGGAGAGACACTACCGGTCAGGAGCCGTAGGAGGGAGTGGTTAATTTGGGTTAATGATGGGGGAGTGTTGCTCTGTAATCTCAGGGTGAACCTGGCCGTGGGAGACTGTGCCCAGCATATAAGTGTGCTGAGCTCTTGGGTGACTCTAGACACATCCCCTTCTTACCTATATTGTGCTTGAAAGTGGCTTTGCACGAAGCTCTGGCCTAGGGAAAGCTGAGCCGATGGTGACGGGTGGTTCTCAGAGGCTTTACTGCCTTCCGGCTGAAGCTGCAAAGAAATGAGGAAAGGAAGCAAATGAATACACCTCCCATCACACCGCCGCTTCCAGACCATGGAGTCCCGGCCTCCTCCCGGGCAACGCCCGCCCGCTGCAGAGCCTGGGCCTTCGGTGCTGCCTTTGCCACAACCCCTTGCTCCCTCCATCTCTTCACCTTGACAGAGGAGGAGCTGGAAGAGCAGAACTGCAGCATGAACCGTGGCGAACACTCACACACACTCACCCAGCTTGACGACTACCCCTGAGTTTACTGCCTTGCTCTTTATCTCCATCCGGCTGGGCCTCGTGTGTCTAGGTGCCTCTAGGACAGCGGTTCTCAACCTTCCTAATGCCGCGACCCTTTAATACAGTTCCTCATGTTGTGGTGACCCCCAACCATAAAGTTATTGTCGTTGCTACTTCATAACTGTAATTTTGCTACTGTTATGAATCGTCATGTAAATATCTGATATGCAGGATGTATTTTCATTGTTACAAATTGAACATAATTAAAGCACAGTGATTAATCACAAAAACAATATGTAATTATATATGTGTTTTCCGATGGTCTTAGGCGACCCCTGTGAAAGGGTCGTTTGACCCCCAACCGCTGCTCTAGGACGTCTCACTGGGATGCGCTGCCATGACTTCAAACACGTCCCAGCCAAAGTTCCCACCGACTAAACCTGTCTGTCCACATTTCCCAGCGAGCCAGCCTCCACATGACCACCGTCCTTCTCGGACAAACCACCCCGCACCTCAGACTAAGGCATAAGCCTCCTTCACTCACAGCTGAGTCTGCTGCACCCTCCCTTGCATCCCCTTATGTTTAAGTTGCCTGTTGTTGCTGTAGCAAATCACCACACACTGGTGGCTTAAAACAACAGACGTTGATCCTCTCACAGTTCCCAAGGGCAGACATCCAAAGTCAATATCACTGGCCCCAAATCAAGGTGTTGGCGAGGCCACACTCCCTCTGGACATTCCTTGCCTCTCCCACTCCTCGTGGCTACAGGAATTCTGTGGCTTGTGGCCACATCACTGCCGTCTTCAAGGCCAGCATCTCCCTCCTTCCAAGAGCCAGCAAAAAGGAAGGGTTTGGGGTGAAGTACACCAATGTCTGAAATTTAATTTAAAATGCATCAAAAATATAAGATGAGGAAACCCGAGGGAGCAATGAGTAGAGAGAAGAATGAGTAGATGGATAAAATGTGATAAAGCAATTTTAGTTAAATACAAATTATAGACTCTAGGTGGTAGGTATGAGGTGTTCACTTTATAATTAATTCAACTTGTCCCAATGTTTGAAATTTTCCATAACAGAACAGTGGGACGAACAAAAGCGACAAATACTCAGAATGGTCACTCTTACTATTTTTTGAAGCCCCAGGTGACCAGGACACAGGATGTGCAAAGGGAAGCAGGAAATGGGGCTGGCGAGCGAGTCTGGAGCCACGCTGGGCGGGGCCCTGCCTGCCCAGGGAAGACTGTCTGGTTCAGTAAAGGGCACAGCACCGGAGTTAAACATTGACCTCGAGGGGCACTGCCTGGGTTCGAGCCCCTGCACTGGCACGGAGCCAGGGGGGTTAGTCACCCTCGGGGCTCCAAGGTTCCCCAACTGTCATAAAGGGATAGGGAATGATAATGCCTATCTGATAGGACTTTCCTAAGAGGAAAGAGTTAATATAAAACACAACAGTGGCTGGCACAGGAAGCACTGTTTACATGTCGTAGACGGGTTTGGAACCCAGTGGTGGCAACATGCCCGGAGAGGAGCACGTCGCCAGGAGGAAGGAGGGTAAGTCTGAGTATGACACAGCCTAGGAGGCCCAAGGGCCCAGTTGACACCGGGTGAACTAGAGTAGGAGTTGTAAAAAGGAGAAGGAGGGAAGGGCTCAGACACCCTGTGCACGCAGCTCAGGGCTGAGCACCCGATGGGGGAACAGAGGGCGGAAAGGGAGCAGATACACAGGACCAGCTCCGAGCTTCGGACCCGGAGCCTGGCGAATGCCTATTCCACGAACGACAGCCGAAGGAAGTGGGTCAGGGAAGGGCATCCCCATCCAGGGGAGACATCTGACAGCAGAGCAGCGAAGGGCTCAGAGCAGAGAGAGCTCGGATGCAGAGCGCACGTGGTATTTCTGGGTGCCCGGGACTCACTCCTCTTCTTGGTAGTAGCCCCCCTTGGGGAACATCGAGTCCAGCCCATGGGGAGGTGGGACAGGCTCTTTCATCAGGGGCCCTGCTCTCCCTTAGCGAATAAGCAGAGCGATCAAAGGGCTGGAGACAGCGATGCTGGCAGAGTCCAGGCCAGAACAGCTCCACCACTGAGGCCGCCCGCCCAGAGCTGTCCGGCTCTCAGGGAGCCCACGCCTAGGTCTTCAGCCTGCCCTGTGTTCCCCGTGCCACCCCTCAGCCTTCTCACAAGTCCCGTTCTTATCTGAGTCAGCTGAACACCCCACAGGGACACAGGCCGCTTCTGCATCAAGGTGACAATACAGCACATTGGGAGCAGCCATGGGGGGTCCCCCAGGGGTGGGGGTGGAAGGAGGAAACCCTGAGCATGGCTGGGGGAGGGGCCTTACTCCACCTGTAAAAGGAATAGGAGTGTCCCATCCACCTCGGGGCCATCAGTAAAATCAGAAAAGATGACCTGTGTCTCCTGCCTGGCATGCAGTAGGTGCTTAATACATGTCAGCTTCCTGGTCCTCTCCCAGCCTCACCCCTTTCTCACCTCTCTGAGAGCAGCTCTTCCTCTAAGACAGTGGTTCTCAACCTCGGCTGCACATTAGAATCACCTGGGAATCTTGTTAAAATCCTGATTTCTGGGCCTCATCATTAGTAACAAAGAAACAGAATTTCCAGAGGTTAGGCCCAGAAATCAGGATTTTAACAAGATTCCCAGGTGATTCTAATGTGCAGCCAAGGTTGAGAACCACTGCTCTAAGATAACCTACAGGAGAGTAAAATAAGCCCGCTGTGCCGGGGAAAGCAGTTGAGAATCATTAAAGTCACAGAAGAAAGCAGTCCTGATGGTTTCTACTCGTTTCAGTGCACCTCGCTCTATGGCTTTTTTATGTTTTGCAGCTGAAATAACCTCAAAGAGAAAGCTGTTCAGAGTTACGAAGGGAGTCAGTCCCTTTCCTTCTTGGAAAGGGAAAATGGGGTTTCCTGCCAACCCACCCCAGCAGCCCTGTTCCTTCCCTGCAGCCCCGGCAGCCGGGCCTCCAAAGGTGGCCCCGTTTCTGACCGCAGATTTCACGGGGCGGCCTGGACCCCAGACCGAGAAAAAGATCTTGTCTGGTTTCAATCAGGTCAAATTAAGAGCTGGGCAGGCTCCTCTCTCGGGCCAACAGCCTCCCCTGCTCTTGCCTGGTCACTCTTGGCCCGTTAAAGGGACAGAAGTTCCAGCTCGGCCAGCAGAAAGAGGCCCAGCTGGTTTCTTCTCACCCCCTGCTGGGGACTCAGAAGACACTCCTGAGAAGGGAAGGGATCCCACCTGCTCTGAAACAGACTCAGGTTCAATTCTATGCCTCCCACGTAGAAGTGAGTGACTTTGGGCAACGTGACCTAAATTCCTGTCAACTATAAAAAAATGAGCTATCCTTACAAATATTAAGGCCTAGTAACTACCCAGTTTATTCAACCATTCAGGAGCTTGAGTGTCTCCTGTGTGTCAGGAGTAAAATAAATCATGAAAAGCATCAAATCAGATGTGTGGCCCACAACAAATATTCAATAAATAGTATCTTTTATAAAAAATACACCGTTCTGATTTCAAAAATGTGTTCACTGTAAGGTTATGGACTACACCGTGTACTGGACATGTTTATCTGCTCAGCATTCCTGCCTTTGGGGAAGTAACCCAGCCAGAACCTAAAAGCTCTCCTTGGCCATGTGATTTGGGTGGTGGTTACTCCCCACCACACACACACACACACACACACACACACACACACACGGGCATCTCAGGGGTGCCCAATCAGAATGTTTCATTCTGCAGACCACCTGCCCAGCCAGCAAGGAGCATATGAACCATTCTGGGACGAACACATCTTCCCAAACCCTAAAGAGCATTTGAGCATTTCAGGGGCCCCTCTTGTCACCACGTGGGCAGAGCCGGTCTGAGAGAGCAGCCAGAGACAAGAGAGAGAGCGCCAAAGACCTGGTCACGTCATCTTGAGGACTTGGACCCAGCCCTGCCTGAAGCTGCTGCAACCTTTTGACCTGCAAGTTATAAAAGCCAATCGATGTCCTTTCCTTAAGTTGAAGCGAGTTACATTTCTGTCACTTGCAACTAAGAGGATCTAAATAAGATCAACAGAAAGTCACTGTACCTAAGAGAAAAATCACCCACAAGCCCACCAGCCCAGGAAACCACTCTCACCTCCGAGTGTGTGGTCCTCCCGGGTTCTGTTGCGATGGTTTTGCTTTGTTTCATTTGTGTGTTTTGCAGGTGACTGGTGTGGTTCTTTTTAAAATAACAGGCTTTCAGGCTAGACCCCGCCGTGGGTCCTGATTCTGTCCCTTCTTTAGCTGTATTGCTTTGGGAAAGTTACCCAACCTCTCTGGTGTTACCCATAGATAAAATGCAGATAGTAACCAGCACCTCTCCATAAACGACGATCGTTAACCTACTGTAAGTGACCCTCCAGGAAGTGATCTGTGGAAGACCGAGTACTGCATCTGGGTCAGCTTTGAGACACATTAAAATAATGGGCGACTGATTATTTACCACAGCTTGTGGGCCATGTCTTAAATGACAGCGGCTTATTCCCGGGTATTGTTATGCCCTGGCTCCCTCGTGGTGTAGTAACTTCACTGGCTTTTACTCCTGTGTGGGAGAGGTAGAAGGAGAGCAGGAGGGCAGAACCCGTCATCGACCTTATGAGCAAAGCCCAGAGCACACAGCTGATGCTCAATGAACTTGGCTCTGATGCAAGTCAGTGCTTTCTGGGGTCTGGGGTTTCCCCGCCACCTGGAACGCTAAGCACACACGTGTAAAGATCACCCATCCTGTGTCTTGAGACAAAAAGACTGGGAATCCCTGCTCTGTAGGATGCGCAGCTGAGAAAGCGGTGGGAGAGTTGAAACCATACCATCTGAAAAGAAGCAGCGGTACTCAGGGCTGCAGGTGCACACACTGATGCACAGAATACTGAAAACAAGACTTTTCACACTGTATATATCCAAAAGGAAACCTCTTCAGTGTATCAGTGGAATTAGAGGACGGAACCGCATCGGAGGCAGTGCATTGTCTACGAAAGGAGCTGAGAGAAAGGTGCAGGGACCCCGCTGTGCTCGAGCTGGGACACGCAGGGATGCAAGACTCTGAAGTCCAAGAGTCAGCCTGCAGGAGCTGAGTGAATATTCAAGCGAAGAAAAGGAAATCAAGTACAACGTGTTGTTTTGAGGGACTGACCTGCTGGGACCCTGGCCCTCGGGAGGAGCCCTCCGAGTCCTCGTGCACCCGATCCAGCAGCCAGAGCAGGAACTCCAGGGCGTCGTGCTGGGCGTGGCCCTGGAACTGGGCGCCGTGCTTGGAAACGGCATTCTGAAAGGAGAGGAGAAAACCGGAGGGTCACCCTGGCCTCCCACAACCCAATCAGGGCCCGTTCGCTCCAGGTCCACCAGCGGTCACTCTTCAGCCCTCACCTGGGCCGACAGCATGGTGACAATCTGGGGTGAGGAACGGTCTTTCCTGCTAGTCTGCCCTTTGGGGTTTTCTGTACAGAGAAGGCACCTTGCTTTCCAGAAAGACTGCTAATGGAAGTCCTGTCCTTGGGAACCCACAGGGTAGTCCCTGTTGACTATTTCGATTCTGTTGACCATCTGTCCTCCCTTGATCACTGGGCACCTGCTCCATCCGTCTGTCTATTTACACCTGCAGGTGCGCAGCTCCTTGCCTTACCCCTCCCTCAGCGATTTCATTCTCTCCCATCGCTTCATCTCTCTCTGAATGACCACCTGGCAAAGTGAGGCGGACTTCCTCCAATGCCTTAAATAGGCATGAAGCTCTTTCACTGCCTCTGCTAGTATGTGTGAAATCGAAGTGCAGACTTCTCTTCCTATGGTTAGATCACAAAAGGGTTGTTTTCAAGCTTCATTCCTTCATGAACTATTCACGGAGGGCCTACCATGTGCGCTGGGGACACACCAGTGAGCAGGACAGGACTCCTGCCTCCGGGACACTCCTATTCCCTGCTCACTCCCTTTGTACCGTCCTGTTCAGCTGTGTAACAACTATGTCCGTGTCTGTGTAAGTGCATATTTCAGCTTTTTAAAACTTAACTTCAAAGGGTAACCTATGCACATGCTTTAAAAAAAGAATTCAAGATTTTTTAAAAGGACAATAATGAAGTGTCTTCCTTCTCAATCCCTGCTACCCCTCCGCACAGGGAGGCTGCTCTCAGCAGTTTCTTAAGCACCTTTCCAGTGATTTATTTTTTAATGCATGTGCAAGCATGAGCATCTGAGTGTAAGCGAAGCCCATTGTCTGTGTGCGCACACAGTCCATGGCGGTCTGTCCAATCCCGAGACTGAGAGCCAGGCATCAGGCCTCCCTGCCCCCCGGGCTGTTCTCCGCTCACACCCCGCAAAGGGGCCAGTCTGAGCAAGGCGGTGGGCCCCTCACCACTGCCAAGCAAACCCAATGGCCTGGGCTCTGTTCTTTTTCTTTTTCTTTCGTTTCATCTTTCCTTGGAATTTCAAGGAACTTTAGGATGGGAGGAAGCAAAATTCAAGATTTCATTCCTTGAAATGCTGGTGCGGAGTTTATATGCCAGTCGCACTGTCTGGTTCACTGGGGTGGGGGCTAGTTTGGATCCTTCCCTCCAGCTTCTGTGCCCTTTGTAGGGCTGCCAGATTGAGCGAATACAATGAATCATAAATAAGCAGTAAGCAATAATGTTTGTAGTATAAATATTTGAGATGTGTTTATACTAAAAGGTTATTTGTACCTGAAGCTCAAATTTAACTGGTGGGCATCATGTATTTTACCTGCCACCCTCCAACCTCCATCCTTAGTACCAACATCTCATGTGTCCCCTGGGGAGCAGCCAGCCCGGCCAGCTGGAAAGACCTCAAACCAGCTCCTCCTCCTCCTCATGTCCGCGTCCCCTTTCAGATCCCCTCTCACCCACATCAGTCAGCTGTCAAGCATTCTGAATTCTGGCTCCCAAATTCTTTCTGCCAGTCCCATTCCCACTGTTGAGTCCTAACTACTGCTACCAAGGTGACAATACCTCCCTACGAAGGAGCCCAGCCCCGACAGACAGTCTCCCCCTGCCAGCCCCCTGACCGCCGGGCAGGGCAGACCCACCTTCCCACACCTGGATATTGCATTCCCTACTCCCAACCCTTCCTGACTCTCACTCACCACCTGGTCTGGATGCACACGTGTCTCTCTGTCTCTCACAGCTCTCTCCTGTGTTTCAAAGCTCCAGGTAAACCAACCAACTCAGGTGCCCCAAACATGCTTCCCCACTTCAAAAGTCTCTACCTGTACTTCTCCTTCCTCCCATGCGAAACCCATCCCCCTCCTGCTAATCAAGCTAGTCCTTTAAGACTCATCCTCTCGGTGTCAGTCTGGCTAGAAAGCCATACGCTCTTTCCAGAAAGCATTTGACAATGAACGTCAGGAAGAGAGACAAGCGAGGGCCTTAAAATGTTTCTCCAGAAACACAGTACAGAGCTGACCCTCGAACAGCACAGGTTTGACCTGCATGGGCCCACTTTTAAGCAAGTTTTTTCAAGAAATACTATAAATGCATTTTTCTCTTCTTATGGTTTTCTTATTATTTTCTTTTCTCTAGCTTACTTTATTGTGAGACTATCGCACATAACACATATAACATACAAAATATGTGTTAATCAACTGTTTATGTTATCAGTAAGGCTCTGGTCAATTGTAAGCTATTAGTAGTTAAGTTTTGTGGGAGCCGAAAGCTATACATGGATTTTTGGCTGCAGTGGGGACAGGGGAGGTCACTGCCCAACCCAGAGTTGTTCAAGGGTCAAATGAAATTCTACTTTGGGGGATTTAGGCTAAGAAATGAGAGATACAAACAAAGGTAGCTCTAGGCATCAAAGTAACTTGAGGAGAACCTGTGGCACACTCATATTAGATGGCCTTAAAAGGTTGGGCGGCTCAGCATTGTCCCACACCAAAAAGATTCTGGGTTCGATTCCAGATCAGGGTATAGATCAGTGATGGCGAACCTTTTGAGCTCGGCGTGTCAGCATTTTGAAAAACCCTAACCTAACTCTGGTGCCGTGTCACATATAGAAATTTTTTGATATTTGCAACCATAGTAAAACAAAGACTTATATTTTTGATATTTATTTTATATATTTAAATGCCATTTAACAAAGAAAAATCAACCAAAAAAATGAGTTCGCGTGTCATAGGTTCGCCATCACTGGTATAGACCTAGGGTTCAATCCCTGGTCAGGGCACACACCAGAGGCAACCAATCGATGTTTTTCTCTCACACAGTGACGTTTCTCTCTCTCTCTCTCTCCCTCCCTTTTTCCCTCCCTCCCTCTCTCTCTTCCTCTCTCTCTAAAATCAATAAACATATCCTCGGGTGAGGATTTTTTTTTAATTATGCTTGAGGAAATACTAATGAAAAAGTAAAATAAACAATCCTGTCATTTAAAAAGGAAGAATGGCCCTAACCAGTTTGGCTCAGTGGATAGAGCATCGGCCTGCAGACTGAAAGGTCCCAGATTCGGTTCTGGTCAAGGGCATGTACCTTGGTTGCGGGCACATCCCCAGTAGGAGGTGTGCAGGAGGCAGCTGATTGATGTTTCTCTCTCATCGATGTTTCTAACACTCTATCCCTCTCCCTTCCTCTCTGTAAAAAATCAATAAAATATATTTTAAAAAAATAAAAAGGAAGAATGGAAAAATATCTATTTGACATTGTTTTATATATATTTGTAGATAGATAAAAGTCCCAAGAATATACAGCAAAATAATAACAAATGGTTGTCATAGAAGAATGGGACCATAGGTGTTTTTTCCATTCGCATTTGTATATTTAAAAATTTTTTTTTTACAGTGAACTTTGTTCTTTATTGTTTCTTTTCCAATTATAATAGTACCTGGCAGGTGTTTTCCAGAATTTTTAAAAAAACGTAGCTTATCAATTCCTACAGAGCACATTCTTATAGAAAGTCTAGTGAAATTTAGAGCCACATTAACACTAAATCCTAACTTGGGAGAAATGAACAAAAATATTTGGTATTTCTGCCCTGCAACATGGCATCGCTCTATCTATGTGTTTTTCCTCTCTCAAACATTGATAATTTTTTAAGTATTTCTTATTAAAGTCATTACTAGTTATTTCATATTTCTAGGTTGTATTTATAAATAAAACCTAATTTTTATAATGTTCTAAATGGTTATAAGTGGTTATTGCTCTTGACTTTCTGTCTTGTACCTAATCTCATTAGTGATAGTTGTAATTCGAAATACGAATTTCTAGAGCCATTTGGTAATTTTCTGTTTAATATTTCTACTCCATTCCAGTTTCATGTTGTACTGTTTTGTCAAGAACTTCCAGAACATAACAATTATAAAGGCATCCTCGTTTTTTTTAAAAAAAACACAACAGTGCCTGGAGCCCTGGCCAGTGTGGCTCAGTGATTAGAGTGTTGGCCCGGGCATGGAGGTTCGATTCCCAGTCAAGATCATGTACCTAGGCCCTACCTGGTTTGGCTCAGTGGATAGAGCATTAGCCTGTGGACTGAAGGGTCCCAGGTTCGATTCCGGTTAAGGGCATGTACATTGGTTGCGGGCACATCCCCAGTAGGAGATGTGCAGGAGGCAGCTGATCAATGTTTCTCTCTCATCGATGTTTCTAACTCTCTATCCCTCTCCCTTCCTCTGTAAAAATCAATAAAATATATATTTTAAAAAAAGAAAGAAAGAAAGAAAAAAAGATCATGTATCTAGGTTGCAGGTTTGACCCTGGCTCCAGTTGGAGTGCATTCGGGAGGCAACCAATCGATGTGTCTCTCCCACATAGATGTTTCTCTCTCTCTCTTTCTCCCCCTCCCTCCCTACCTTCCACTCTCTCTAAAAATCAATGGAATAATATCCTCGAGTGAGGAATAAATAAATAAATAAATAACTAGCAGTGCCTTGAGTATATCACTTGAGACATATTCTGTGTCTAAAATCATAGGTCTAAAATTGATCCTTAAGCACATAAGCTAAGATAAATTCCAGGTGGCTGAAATCCTTAATACAACTACAGGAAAATTAGAAACACATAAAATATTTATCAAGGTATGATATAAATAAATCTAAAACTTCCAGTATCAGGATAGGAAGGAGAGTTTGGAGAAAACATTTGCAAGAAATATGACAATGGCTGAGGAACTTGTAAAAACATTAGGATCAAAGCAGAGGGATAGACAAATGACATAAACAGATAATTCCAAGAGCCGCCTTACAAACAGTAAGAAGCATGGTAAAATACTATATTTTACTTCTAATAATAAAAAAAGAATAACTGAAATTGTAAAAGCAGAGAGTAAACTGGTGCTCTTGGGGGGCCGAGCGGTGGGGAAATGGAGGTGCTGTTTAAGGGCACAAACTGCAACTAGTAAAAAAATAAGACCTGCAGACCTAACACCCAGTGCAGTGACTACAGACAACAAAACCGCATTATAAACACGACACTTGCTAAGAGACTGGCTTTTAACTGTTCCCAACCGGAGAAGAAAGAATAATTACCTGACATGATAAAGATGTTAGCTAATGCTGCTATGGCAATCATGTTGCAATATAATGTATCAAACCAATATGATGTACAGTAGTCCTCCCTTATCCTTGGTTTTGTTTTGCATGATTTCAGTTACACAAGGTCAACCAAAGATTGAAAATATTAAATGGGAATTTTCAAAAATAAAGTCTATAAGTTTTCAATTGCGATCCATTCTGAATAGCATGAGAGATCTCACGCCGCCCTGCTCCATCCCGCCTGGGGCATGAATCATCCCTTTGTCCGGTGTCTCCATGCTGGACGTGCTCCCTGCCATTAGTCTTAGTGGCCCTCTTGGTTATCAGATCCACTGTCTCCGTATCGCAGGTCTTATGATCGTTTTTTTAAAGGCAGGCTACAAAGCCAGGATTTCCAATTGTTTGCACGTGCTTTGAAGCACATCAATGTTTATTATGATTATCTCTAGAGATGGTTGTCTCTAGTGGAGTTCCAGATCATTGTTTACATTTTTGAACTTTTCAATTTTTTTATAGCATACACACATTTAACCATATCATTAGAAAAGCAAAGTATTATGGATAATGTCCTAAACAGGATCTCTTTAATGTATGTATTCATTTGCTGTTAAAAACAAAGAGTGGTCCTCCTGTGTGGGGGGGTGGGGGTGGGGGAGGATCTGGGTGACTCAGGGCTCAGGAGGGGGTTGGGTAACTCACTCCTTCTCAATTTCCTTCCTTCCTCTGCCTGAAGCTACAAATCCCTCCTGAAGACCAAATTCCTTTGTAAAACCTTATGTGGCTTGTCCCCAACCAATTCTCCAGCCTTTCACCCCCAATCACATAGGTTTTCATTAATTCATTTAACCATTCATTCATTCTGCCTAGCTCCTCAGCCTGAACCCCAGTGACGGGCACTTTCCGTTCCATTCCTTAGTTGACCCTTGTTCCTCCAAAACTCAACTCAGTGGTTACCTCTCCTGGGAAGCCGTCCTGCCCTCGACACTCCACCCCCTCCCCAGTCATATCACAGCCTCCTGCCAGGATTGCCACAGCTCCCTGTATTTTTATTTTCTAGCACTTGCCACCAATTCTCATCATGTGCCTGGGTGATTACGTTACCAACCATTTCTCTCACAGACTGTACATTCCTGGAGGGCAGCCCCAGAATCAGGTTTTATGTTCATCACTCGCCTATCCCATACACCTGTTAGTGTCTGGACACTCAAGAAATACTTGTTAGATGCATGAATTTTTTTCATCTGTAAAATAAGAGGAGCTCACCTAGATTTCAATCAGCAAGATTTAAAACCCTGGATTCTGGGATCCTCCACTCTCTCCAAGGGTGGCTACCCAGAAAGTCCTGGGAAACCGACATTATATCACCCTCATTGACATTAACAGCTTGATTATCCTTCCATTCCCCAAGGCTCACCGGGAGCTTCTAGGCCTTCAGAGAGTTTCAGAACAGGAGAAGAAAGAGAACTCCTGGTGAGTCACCAAGGGTGATTAGTAATTTGGAAGGTTTTTTCCAAGCTACTCCTGGAACCGCTCCCATCCCTGCAGTAACTGGATGAGAATGCATCTGGTATGAGAAAAGTACACAAAGGTTACTGTCCTCCCTCCTAGGTTTCTGCAGGTGAGGAGGTATAATAATAGCATAATAAAAAGTTCCTTCCAGGCACTGTTTTAAATGCTGTACATATAACTCACTTAAACTCCACAAGGCTATGCTGTAATACTGGTAAGGAAGATCCATTATGGTCCCATTTCACAGATGAGGAAAGTCGGGGCACAGCAAGATTTGGAAATTTGCTCAAGGACACAAAGCTCCAGAGATCTTGCTCTCGACCACTATGTGATACTGCCTCTATTTAAAAAGCAAATGTTGCCAAAAAGAGATATTAATGACACCAATTCGATCCATTGATCCTGCAGCACAGTGCTTCACTAGAGGAAGTAGGAGAGTGGAAGGTGGGGCTTGGCATCCCGGTGGGTCACGTGACCAGGACTGCTTTCTCGGGCTCAAACTCAACAGCAGTGATGCTTGCGGAATGAACCCTGACAGGTTCCCTCCTCCCCCAAGAACAACAATCGCTAGTCTATGGGGAGCTTCAGCTCTCCGCCCAGAGCTGTGGGTTTGTTTGGTTGTTTTTTTTTAGCAGGAAGCAAGCCATGTGCATCAATTATCAGGAACTCTTGACTCCGACTGGGACCCCAAACGCACGCCCCGCTTTCACCCCGGGTGAAATGATACACATAACTTCCAAAGAACGCCTCACGACCTGCAGCATCCCCAGTGAATAGAGTCTATTCAATAGACCGTGATCCTGGGGACAGTGGAGTGGATGCAACCCCGCGCTAACGCATCCCAGGGATTTAATTCGCACTAAACAAATGTTTGCTGGACGTAAACAAACAAAGAAACAAAAAAGCTGAACACACTACTCAAATCTGCCAGCTCCCTCCATTCAACCCTTTAAAATACCTGGGAGATATTAATTTATGAAGAAAACGTGTGCGATTGATGGCACAACGAATCAGCTCCAAACTAGGGCGGCAACCCGCGGCGGGACTGGCGAATGCCAGCTACAGAAAGCGGCAGGAAAGCCCTTTCCCGGCGGAGCACACACTTCTCAGGAAGCGAAACCACAAGGGCCGGAGCGAGGGTGCCGCCGCGCGGCCAGGGCGGCGGGTGCGGGGCGCTGCCTACCTTGAACTCCGCGGAAAGTTGGGGCGTGTATTCGCGCGTCCAGAGCGCGCGCACCAGCGCCGCCAGGTGCTCGGGTGACCTCCGCGCGGCCCGGGGCGGCCCCGGTAGCGCCCGAGCGCCAAGAAACTCAGGCCAGCAGGTCAGTTGTTGCTGAGACACTGCACCCACGGCGTTTCATGAAAACAGGGGTGGCCGGTGGTTCTTCAAACCCAGCGCGCCCGGGGCCGCGCCCCGTCGCCGGCTTGGAGCTGGGGTAGAGGTCCGGGCGGGCGGTCCTCCTCGGGGCTCCCGGGCGCGGCTGGAGCCGGGGCCGGGGCCGGGGCGCAGGCAAAGCCCCCCTCACCGTCGCCATCGCAGTGTCGCGGCTGGGGCTGGGGCTGGGGCTGGGGCTCAGACCCGGGCGGCGAGTCCTCGGGGCGGGAGCGACTGCCCAGCGCCAGCAGGAAGCGGCTGAGCAGGCGGCGCAGGGAGCGGCGGCGGCGGGGCCGGGGCGCGGGCGGCCCCCCTCCTGCCGCGCCCCCCGGGCCCTGCTCCATGGCTCCGGTCCGTGCGCCTCCCCGAGCGTGCGCCGGGCCCCAAGCGGACCCGCGGCTAACAGGCCCTTACAGCCCCGAACCGGTGCCGGGGCGCAGGCTACCTGCGGGCCAGGTGAGTGCAGCCTGGGCGGAGGCGGAGCCAGGGCGGGGCCACCCCCACCCGCCCCCCACCCCGCCCCGCGCGGGTCCGGCCGCAGGTTCGCCCCGGGGCAGCGCCGGGCCAGCCTCCTCCGCCCCCGCGGCGCGGACTAGTAATGAGACACTGGGAGTCACCGAGTTCACGTCCCTCCCTCCCTCACCTATTATAAACCACCAGACCTGAATTTAACCTCCGCCTCGTCCCGCTCCGGGCGGTCCAGCTGTGGAATAAGAGGAATGATACGTTTGAAAGCGCCTCGTAAATTGCAAAGCCCTGGCCAGTTCTAAGTGTCTTGTCATTAGGTCCAGGTGAGCACGTCGCAAAGGGAACAGAAGACTCCCCAAAGGGCAAGCTCTGGCGCGGCGAGAGGCGCGCGGTGGGAACTGTGAAGGGACGGTGAGCGCTTTTGTGCACCGCGGGTTCCCCCGCAGGCTCAGGTGTGTGCGTGCACGTGGCGCCACTCCTTCCAGTTTGTCTGCGGGGTGCGGGTGGCAGAGCCTTTCCCCGGACCCCCCCCCCCCCACAACCCTAGGACCGGAACTGGGAGTCGCGTGTTGCCCTGCGTGAAATAACCCAGATAGGTATGGTTTGCTTTTTTAAAACTAAAGACTAGGTTAGAATCATTTTCCAAAAACTTACGAGATTTGGTCATTTGTTTTAACTGGTGGAGAAACGGACTCGGGTTAACACAATATACCGAGGTCACCAAACCCATAGATAGAACAAATGGAACTCCGCCTGGGCCTGCGGACTGCTAACCCCACGGGCTGGCTCTTTCCAACCTCCGCGCTGTGCAGTATTTGCTTATCAGGAAGTTTTCTGGGTCTCAGACATTCCACCTACCCGCTCACCTGCTCGTTCCTTGACGCCTAATCCTTGCTGAATTGTTGCCCAATCAGAATTCACTGGGCCTTGCCCTGCCCTTGATTCCCTGGGTAACTGCGGGACTCCACTCACTCTATCCTGTAACTGTCAGGTTTATAATTAATCGGGCAAAGTCTTGCAAAATGAATTTCTCATGGGTCTAGCTCTAAAAGAGATCAGTCGTATGCATTATTGCATCAACGCCCTGAAATGTTACTTATTATTTGATAAGTGAAAATCATTGATTAAATATCCTCCTTGATATATCAAATAGGCAGCAGCAAATCACTGAATGCAAAAAAAAAAAAAAAAGGATCATTGGTTAAGGATAAAGAATGTGCTAAGAACAAAAGACTGTGCTGTGCATTGGGGACTCTGTGTTTCCGGAAAACAATGTTTACCCTCGCTGGGAAAGAATACCCAGTTGGATGATCAATACACGAGATCCAGTCCCTCCCTCGCCCTTCTGATGGTGAGCACAGAAGAAAGATTTTATGGCCAACTCCAAAAAAGCACCTATGAAATGTCACCCTTGATAACCACCCCAAGATCCTCAACAACACAGTTTCTTGGAGAAATCCCTGTAATTCACGTTTACCTCTCTATGTGTCCAGAATTCTGCTTTAATACACTAATTCAGTTAATCCTCACAGTAACCTTTGGAGCAGGATTTTATTCTTGAATTACAAAAGAGAAAACAGTGGCTCAGAGAATAAAAACTAAAAACAAAACTAAAAACAAAAAAAAACTACCCAAGATCCAAATTCAAAGTCTTGCCCGTGCAGCTTGACCAATGAAATGCTGATTAAGAAGGTGAGCTCGCCTCCTTATTTTGAGAGACATCAGCAAAGCCATCTGTGGATGGAGCAGAGGAAGGGCTGTGGGCTTCGCAGAGTCCTAGAAAAGAGACTCTTACAGGAAACCAACCACTGGAAGTTTATTCATAATACAAACCTTTAATTACAGCTTGGACAAATTATCCTTGGACGCATTTCCATTTTAATGTACAGTTTAAGAATGTCACATACATTCTAAAAAGGAAAGGAGAAACTTAGGAAATATTTTGAAACTTATAGGTAACACAAAAAACACAGATGTGTGAAACCAAAACCAGGGAGTTATCTGAGCGCCACGGCCACCAGAACGGTGTGCGATGCTGAGTCAGCTCTCCCAGCTTCAGGTGGTAAATGGGCACTTCCACCGGAGGATGGCTCCGTCGGCACTGACGCTGATGATGTACTGATTCCCGGGGCTTATCCGAAGGCGCGTGATGGTGCCACTGTGTCCAACCCCAACGTGAGTCACTTCACCCTCATTATAATCCCAAACTTTGACCATGTGGTCCTTTCCACCTGCAAAACACATTTATATGGCGTGGCTATCATAGAATGCAGAGAAGCAGCCCTGATCTCAAAGAACTGGACCATCTTCAACACATTCCCCCTGGGTCAACTTCAAGAAAGAAAAACCAGTCTTTATAGTAACTCTTCCTTGGTTATAAGAGTCTAGGTCAGTGGTCGGCAAACCGCGGCTCGAGAGCCCCTTGAGTGTGGCTCTTCCACAAAATATCACGTGTGGGCACGCACATGCAGTGCGATTGAAACTTCATGGCCCAGAAGTCGGTTTTCGAAAAGGAGATAGACGAAAGAAGTATATATGATGCGTGTGGATGGGAGACGAGTGTGGATGGGAGAGTTGGAAGGGGTCGACCTCAGCGAACGTACCTCAATCAGATTGAGGACGTTTTTTAGCAAAGGCCAGCTTAGAAGTACTCTAATTAAGTTAATAACAATGTACCTACCTATATAGTTTAAGTTTAAAAAATTTGCCTCTCAAAAGAAATTTCAATCGTTGTACTGTTGATATTTGGCTCTGTTGACTAATGAGTTTGCCGACCACTGGTCTAGGTCGTCTGTTGTAGTAAATTTGAGGGGGGAAAAAATGCAAAGTGGTGACATCACCCTTGGTCCCACCACCCAGAAATAACCACTAATAGCACCTTGGTTTCGTTCCTTCCAGTCTTTTCTCCGTGGTCTGCGGGTACACATTTTCGTTTGTGTACGTGACAGGGGTCACACCACGTCTGGTTTTATATATTGTTTTCCGTAAATGTGTTTATGAAACCGTAATCCACTTGGGACTTTTAATGTCCCAAAGAACCAGAGAGCCTGGCAGGAAATGATATCGATGTTGTTCCAATAGGCATGTCGGGTGGTAAATGCCCCCGGGAAGTACTGACTTCAAAGCCTGGCATTGAAGACTTCAGCGGGAGAGAACAGAACAAGGCCCAGTGGACCGCCCGGGCCACTGAAAGTCCCATTTCCATCACGTAGGCCCACCACAAACAAAGCCAGCCACGCAAGGCTTCGCTTTTCTTTGTGCCCCCAAGGCTCCTGGGCAAACGTTTCCTCTCACTGAAATGGGACTTTTGCGTTTTTATTTTCCAACCTCACTGGCTGCAGGGCTCAGGCCTGAATCGAACCATGTTGCCCTTTAGACCCTTTCGTGGTCCCTTCCAGTCACCCCTTGCCTGGGAGCTCCATGTTCCTGCCCAAGTCAGTCAGGCCTGGTGTTCTCGTGTGACCCGGGGACTGACCTGTGACAAAGTGCACTCCATCCACGGAGATATCCATCCCGTTGATGGACCCAGACGAGGAGCCTTCCAGCTCTCTGATGACTGACCCGTCATAGACTTCCCAGTAGCCAATCTGGAATTGGGAGAGAAGCCTTAGGCAGAATTCGGCTCAGGGGAATCATCCACATCCACGCGCAGGCTAAGGGAAGGTGGCTCTGCTTTCCATAGAAGGCTCTACTTTATATAGCAGGATGCCATGTGGGCTGAGATTATAAATAGGCTCGAGCAGGGGGCGGAGAAATCACGTTCACATTTTTAGTATTGGTTTTTTAAATGTGCATTCTATTTAGAGAGCTGTCGATAGGCTGGAAACCCAGATTGCAACAGAAGTGCGTTTGATCAGACAAAGCAGATTGAGTCTGAACTCAGCTGTAAAGGAAAAGGCACCAGCCACTGCCCGAGCTTCCCCATTTCCGCTCACAGCAGGCTCGGGAGCGCCCGGCCTGGGGGAAGGGGAGCGTTTCCTTCCTTCAGCGGGGACGGGGAGCCCAGCCAGCCGTCCAGAAAGTCCTGGAGACCCCACCCTTAGTCCCAACTTTCTGTTCTGCCTCAAAGCATTTAAGCTTTCCACAGGGCAGGGTTTTAAAGACAAACCGTTACTATCAGTCCCTCCTGGGGAGGGAAACTAGGATAGGGGTGGGATGGGGGGATGGGAGAAACAGGAGCTCAAGGAGAGAAATTTTTCTCTAAATAGACAGATTTTATACTTTTTGAACTTTGAAACATAAATGTACAGCCTATTCAAAACTCCAATTTCCTTCTAAACCAGCGGTTCTCAACCTGCGGGTCGCGACCCCTTTGGCGGTCGAACGACCCTTTCCCAGGGGTCGCCTAAGACCATCCTGCAGATGAGATATTTACATTACGATTCATAACAGTACCAACATTACAGTTATGAAGCAGCAACAAAAATAATTGTATGGTTGGGTCACAACATGAGGAACTGTATTTAAAGGGCCAGAAGGTTGAGAACCCCTGTGAGCCCTTGACTAGGGATCAGGAGTGTGAACTTGGTTTCCTGTTGATGGAAACTCTGTGTTCCCATCATTATGCCAGGAACCTGTATTCCTCTGAATCTAGCTAGAAATGGTGTAGGAGATATATATCTGGCTGTATAATTTCATCTGATGTCTGATCACTTTAAATAAAATTCTGCCTTCACAGGCAAAGCATGCAGAACTAGAAAAGCACGCCAAGAATCCTTGTTCTCAGGAAGCACACCCCTACAAGGCCTTTGTTCTTCATCACCAGCTTTCCCGGCCAAAGAGGTCCGAGCGGGCCTCCCCTGAGAGTCCCAGCAGGCCTCGGGCTTTCCTGGATACCCCCACCTGGGACGGTCTTCCCCAGATCTGAGCGTGGCTGAGTCCTTTTGTCACCCAGGCCTCAGCTCACATGTCACCTCCTTAAGGAGGCCTTCACTGACCCCTCGCTAAAGCAGCTTCCTTCCTCCCAGCCAGCATCATAGAACCCGTTCTATTTTCTTTCCCTATAACTTGTTCTGTTTTCTTTTCCTGTAACTTGTCCTGTTTTCTTTTTAGCTCTCTCACCGTCTCATATCCATCCTGTTCACTTATTACTCGGTGCTTATTCATATGTTTGTTTACATGTGTCCAATTCCATCCCCTCCTGCCCCAAATGAACATATAAAATAAGTAAGTGGCACGACAGCAGGGACACTGTCATGTCCCCAGCACTCAGAATAGTTTCACAAATTTATGATTTATAAATTCTGGTAAAAATTCTAATAAGAGGGAAATAGACTGTTCATACACTAAAACCTAAAATATAGTAGTAAATATCACACTAATTTAGAAACTTAAGGAACCATATATCAAAGCATTTATAGTGACATTGTGCTACACTCCCTACAATCCACCCCACCCCAGTCCCAAGAGGAAGCCCACATAGACCACAAGTCAAACAGGGTGTTAGAGGATGGGAGGCATAAGCCAGTTTGGGCCAACGAGACACAAATAACTAACAAGTCCTGGATGGGCCCGGCAGCATTTCTTGGGTTTTTACGAAGAAGTATCTTTGGGCAGTGGTCCCCAATCACCTGGGAAACTTAAACAGGTAAAAGCCCCACTCCTAGAGTCTAATCTGGGTGGTGTGGGATGGGAGAGGCACCTTTAGTATTGTTTTCCCTACAATCTTGTTATACTTTTAACTCATCAACTTTCTCTGTGGCTAGGAAAAGATAAGCATGCAACCCCCTCTTCCGTGATCTCAAAGTCTGAATTAGAAGAATCCAAATCCATTCATTGGATGTGCAGATCTGATAGGATCTGATTTGGCCAGCAGGGTGGATGGCACCCCAGCATCCTTGCCCCTCCATGTGCCTCTCTGCTGAAGCCTCTTCTTCTGGGAGAAATGTCCCCCCAAAAAGGACCAATCTTCACCCGAGGACATGTACTCTCCAACTTAAAAGATTTTTAACATATTGATGAAGCAGAGTGATGAAGCAGAGTGATGAGAGGAGATGAGGAGCTCTAGTGTCATTCCATTTGAACTTGGTCAAAGCGACAACTGGTTTGGGCACAGCAATTCCTTTCCGGCCTCAGAAACTTCCTAATAATAAAAACCAATATCTATGGAGTAACCCCCCTGGCGCAGGCACCCTGCTATTAGCAGTATATGCGAGCGTGGCTTTAATCTTCACAGAAGCTCTATGAGGTTGGTGGCACCATCATGTCCGTTTTACAGATGAGGAAGTGATGGTACCAAAAGATGACATAGCACGTCCCAAGAGCCACGCTGATCAACAGCAAAGACCATCCTTTGCACTGGCATGTCCAGAGCCTGCACCCTCAGCCACAACACTTTGCTTTTCTCTCGTACCAGAAAGATCTCAACTCCTGCTAGGAGTGCTTACCTTCCTGTCTGTCCCACTGGTGATGATCTGGAACTCTTCGGGGTGGTAACAAACGCACCTGAACAAGGTATTGGCCAGGATCATCTGACTCCTCCTAAGACGTCTGAAGCATAGATTCAAAAGCTGTAAAACTCGACTACTTTCTCTCCCCTGGAAAACGTATTTGCTGTTCAAACTGGATTTGGCGCAAGCTTGGATTAGGGTTGGTTCATTCATTCCAAACAGACGTCCTGTGACTCTGCCCACTCCCCTTCCACATCTCCCCACTGCACCGATGGGGCAGTCAGAGGATGGGGGGGAGGGGATTCCCTAAGGACGAAGCCCAGGACTAAATGGGATGCCTCAATGGGATGCCTCGAGTTCCAGTGAGAAGGAAGCAGGAGGCTGAACTGGGAGTCCGCCTGCTGTCTTCCACACCAGGCCCCGCTTCCCAGGGAGGGGCTCTACAAGCTGAGTGCAAAGTGCGGGGGAAGGGCTTTCAGAACCGGAGGTTGTTGGGCCTTACCTTCGGGACTTGGATTCAGTAGGTTGGGATAAAGCCCACGGATCTGCATTTTTAATCAGCACCCCAATGGACTCTAAAGTAGTTTGAGAGCCACTGCTTGAGGTACTGTACCCAAAATATGTAAATTAGCTTCACCTTCCACAGGTGAGGTGGCTGGGTGGCCGTCTCACAGGCCAGGCTCCACTGGGTAAAATAATGTCCCTTCTGCACAGTTTCTTCTCATTATGGGAGTTTCCAAACATGGTACCTGAACTGAGCATTTTCAAAGATTTGGGCACAAGTTAACCAAATATTCCTGCTACAGAGCAAGGAGGCTTAAAGCTCGGAAGTGGTCGCCAACCATCCATGGAAACAAGCGTAGACATGGCCTCCTAGTTATATGTTTCCCAGTGGGAAGTGCAGGCGAAGGCAATGCGTCCCCCAGTGTGGTCCTGGGGCCAGCACCGGGGGCCTCATTTGGGAGCTTTTACAAATGTGAGATCTCAGATGATATCTAGTGAAACAAAATCAACATTTTAATAAGATCCCCAGGTGATGTGTACATATATCAAAGTTAGAGACGCACAGAACCCCAAGACAGAGGTGTGCTTTGGTTTTTGTTTTATAATGTATTAAATAAAAAGTGTCCTGCCTTTGCCTTTAGTGGCCATTCTCTTCTCTCCAATCAAGAAAATTTTATATTCTTTTGCTATATGTATGTGTCTGTCTATCTCTCTTTTTCTTTATACTCAAGTCTCTCTAATGCAGTTATACACAAAGGTGAGGCATCTTTTTAGTGGTAGAGGGGTGCTTGGCAGGAGGAGGTGTTGGTGGAACAGGATCTAAGTCTCAAAATAAACACAGGAAAAAATGCTTATTGTCCAAAAATATCCTTGAAAATACTTTGAATTACTCCAACACTAAAGTGTACATGCTTTGGTCTTGTATAGGGAGACCCTGAGAATGAGGCCAACTGAGGGCAGGGCAATCCGCCACTCCCCTATTCCCACCCCAAGGCAGGCTCATTCTGGGCTTGACTGGACTTCGTGGAGTGACCAGAGGAACTGCCCGCATTGCCCAAGTTATTTCCCTTCTCCCTCTGGGGGAATACTTCAGAGCTGAGTTAGTGTGAGTTAAATCATGCTTCACTGTGTGTATCCAGAAAGCGACTGCCCTACCTGCCCAGAAACCTCACACCCAGCTCCTCCTGAAAACTATTCCATTTCTACCAGCATCCATGACCAGCCATAGAGATAAAGGGCCTCTGATGAACATCGCTCTATTGCTGCCTTAAGTAAGATGTCTACACTTCGTTTGACTCTTCTTTCAAGCTCCACCAAACGATGGCCTTGTTGGGTTTGTAAGTGCCGCTCGGTCCTCCCCATCACAGGTACCTACACAAGGTCCCAAATGATGCAAGTGCCATCCGTGCTGGCTGTGACGCACTCCTCGTCGTTGCTCTTCACCCGAATGCAGGACACGGAGGACTTGTGCTCCTTCAGGGCCTCCTCCAGCTTCTGCGTCTGGCAGCCTATCTGCCACACCCTCACCTGAAAGCCACAAAGCACAGGTTCTCAATACACACCTGGGCTTTCGAAGGGATAAAATAACTTCCGAGAGCTTTCCCACCCCTGCTCGGCTTGTCTTCTTCTCCCCTCAGCTGAGTGGGGTGGGAGTGCGGAGTTGTAGGCCAAGGAGATTCTTCCACGGAGCCAGGAAAATGCTCCTAATGAGCGTGCACCTACTTCTACCATCGGGGCTGAGAAATTTATTCAATTCCTGCTACTAAAAACAACAATGCAAGGGCTGCTGCAAACCCAAGTTAAAGACTATCGCTACTCATTTCTTCTGAGCTTTGCTCTCAAATGTCTGGTGCCGGGAAATCTCATGGGTACTCAGAGCCATATTTAAATTTTCACATCAGCTGCTCCATTTTAACTGTTTAAAAATCCATGGGTCTCCACTCCATCAAGGCCAATACCCACTTTAAAAAGAATTTTTATTTTAGAGAGAAAGAAAGGGAGAGAGAGAGATAGAAATATTGATGGGAGAGAGAAACATTGATTGGCTGCCTCCTGCACGCCCCCTATTGGGGGGTCGAGCCTGCAACTGGGCCATGTGCCCTGACTAGGAATCAAACCAGTGACCTCTTGGTGCCTTGGTGCATGGGTCTCCGCCCAACCACTGACCCACACTGGCTGGGCCCCACTTTTTATTTTTTTTAAAAAAAAACTTTATTAATACCTCTTTGTTATCCTTAAATTCATAGGTAATACAACTACCTACATATAAATTTTCAAAATAGTCCATATGAGGCCCTAACTGTAATAAAAAAGGAAAGTGATTTAGTTATTATTGTATGTCCAGTAATGGATAAGTGGTCTGTTACAACTGCACCTGAAAACATAATAATATAGTCAGATGTTTATGTCTTCTTATGATGAATACATTTCATGTAAGAAAAATGAGAAGAGCAGAAACTATTTCGTGTAAGTAATATAAGAATGAAAGAACAATAGTCTAGGTGGACACGTCTAAGAGCTGGTGTTAGGATAAGTAAGTTGTTTGTACCTGATGAGAGGAAAATAACCTAAATGAAGAAAAACATTCTAAACCACTTTCTCAGTAAAGAAAATTAGGAAGCATGAGGTATCCCTAAATGAGCTGGCCCATATGTTTTTTTACGAGTCCAAGTAATATCCCTGGGTTAAGATGTGGGATGGGATAATGACTTTTGCCAAAAGAAAAACAAATCTCCAATCTTGAAATCCACTACATGTGGAGGCACACATGTGGTCTCTTTCTACCTAGTATGTTGTGGGCCCTGACCAAACAGCCCCAGGACCAGAACTTTGGAGGTACCGGGCACCAGCCCTTGAGTTGTGGGGTTGCAGGGGTGGTTGGGGTATGCTTAGGGGGGAGGGGATACAGTGGGGGGGCGGGGGGGGTTGGGGCCTTCAAAACTCAGGCAATGGCCATTTACCAGTGAAAATGGAAGTGCTTGAGTATTTCAGCAACTACTGCATTCATGCCAGTGCACACCTGCTGACCAGCAGCCCTGGTCTGTAGTACTTCCCAAGACTCTGAAGACTGTTTTTTTTGGAAGGGAAGTTCTGAAATAGCTGTGGGGAATGGCAGGAAAAGTTGACATTGTCAGAAGATTGCTGAGCAGGGCAATGACTGTAATGTGTCATTTCCTCCCGCAGCTCTCAGCTCAGCTTCAGGCACCTTGAATGCAGATGGTCTGGTCCAAGCCAAGTCTTAGGCATCAGCAGGGCAGATGCCGCAAATGGCTGAGGGAGAAAGCAAGGAAGCAGCGTGTGAAGGGAGTCAAGCCATGAGGGTGGTGACAGGCAGAGCCCAGAGATTGTCCAGGGCTGGGTGTGTCTCTAGAGCACCTGAAAAGTGGCTGGTGCAGGTGGAGATGTGCTCTGGGTGAATATGCACACCAGAATTTGAAGACTTGGTACAAATAGAGTGTGAATAGCTCACTGACAGGAGCACTGTTATCTCCGCATTACCACAGGGAACTGAAGCACAGAGAGGTTAAAGAACACACCCCAGTTCTCACCGCTGGGCTGGGATGGGGTGGAAGTGAAATCTGAGCCCAGGCAGCATGACACCAGCACCTAAACGCTCAGCCACTCATCGGTTTGGTCCAAGCTCTGCTAAAGGCTGCATCAACATGCAGTGTCTTTCTTCTCGCTGATGTCATTCCTATGGTAGCATGGAGAAAAGAAAGGCAAAGACAGTGTCCCCTGTCCAGAAAGGGGAGGTTGTGGGATAGGAAACCAGCTGGGGAGTAAGGGAGGGAGACACTAAGATGAATGTCTGAGTGAGAGATGCTGTAGGCTCATCAGAATGGTGGAAGGAAGAGGGCAAGTGTAATCATTTCAAAATAATGGTCAAAACATCTGGGCAGATTAAAGAATGGATTCTAAAAATAGCATCTCCTTTAAAAGATAAGATAAAGCCCTGACTGGGTGGCTCAGCTAGCTGGAGAGCCATCCTGTACACCAAAAGTTTGCAGGTTCCATTCCCAGTCAGGGCACATACCTAGGTTGCTGTTCCCTCCCAGGTTAGGGTGCAAACAGGAGGCAACCGATGGATGTTTTTCTCTAACATCAAAGTTTCTCACTCTTCCGCTCCCTTCCTCTCTCTCACTCTCTCAAATCAATGAACATACCTTCAAGTGAAGATAAAATAAAGATAAATAAATAAGTACATAAAAAAATAAGATAAAGACCATTTATGTAACTATGGTCTTTGAAGGGAGGGAACAAGCATGTATTCCAAAACTCAGGCAAAACACAACTTGGATTCATAGTTCAATTCCATACAGAACACTTCCATGTCTGTATCTCAAATGTCCTTTCTGTGAACAAATGTATTTATATGAGGATTTATATTATTTGAATTTGAATTTATGGTGTAGTTTAGGGTTTCCTCACAATTTTAATTTGGGCCTTGCCTGACTTGTAGAGCAGATAAAAAAAAAAAAACCGAACAATGAGGCAGTCACACTAAACTGAGGGCTATTTTTAAAAAGACTCTACCTCTCCTTCCCCACCGCCACTGATGATCCTTTTACAGTCGCTCGTGGTAGCGATGGCCGTCACGCCGATCCTGTGGGCATTGTTAATGGCATACATTAAGCGGCCTGTCTCTGGGGCGAAGGCTCGGATTTTACCGTCATCCCAGGCTGTCATGAAAGGAAAACAAAAGGCAGGCAAGATCAGTATATCATACTCTCTCTGCAGACTGTTGCTCTCCGAAATCGTAAGGGAAACTCAGGATTGGGGAGCAGTGGTGGTGATGGAGGAAAGAGGCCAGTCCCCCGCCAATTGCCAGGAATCCTATCACCTTTTCCCCTGACTCCCCAAACTGGTCACACCTGGCTGAGGGAAATGAGTGGCCTTAGTTGAATCTGCCTCCATGTACACCCTACTTCAATGGAGAGAAGATGGAGTGGGGAGGAAGGAAGGAGACCAGCTCCTACTCTCCCATGAGCTGCAAAACTTGTATATCCAACTAGCTGCTGGATATAGCACCTGGGTTGTATAATTTAGCATCCCCAAATAAATGTTGGCTTCTCACCCCTCCCCACATCTTTAAACCTTGATGCTCTTTCCTCCACTCCCGCCATCTTCCGCATCTCAATAAAACTTGCCACTCAAGAACTCAAGCCAAGAACTTCAGAGTCATTCTTGATTCCTCACTATTCCATCCAGGCAACATCTAAGCCATGGACAAGTCCCTTCAGCTCTACAGTTCACCACCCTGAATCTGATCTCATCCACTGGGTCCATCTGCACCTAACCCATCAGCACCTCTCTCCTGGGCTTCTTCCCTCCCTCAGCCTCTTGCTCTCCGTAGACCAAGTAGAAATCTGGGATCGTATTTCCCCTCACCAACCCTCGGTTCCTCCGGGATCAAGA